TTCATGAATTAGGTCATGCCATAATCATTGGAACAGGAACTCGAGAAAGATTCTGTGTGAGCATGCCTTATGGAGAAGGCTTATGCAGGAACACAAATCTTTTGTTTTTGTTGACACGGAACCTTGATATTTCACCATTAAATACACAATATTTCTCATTACAAGGGTCTTTTGTATGCTGGCTTGGTACTATACAAAAATTTCTGAAACAATTTCACATGGCTAAGAAAATGGATACAAATTCATCATTGTTTAGCTGTGTTTTGATTGAGTGATTAACCTCACCAGTAAATGCTAAATATCTAAATATCCTTGACCTTTAACATATCCTATCTTAGGTCTTTTTTCTGTTTGGCTGCTATAAACACAACCTCTTTTCATAATAAAAAAATTATTATAGAACATTGTTTTAATTCTATCTGCTTCTGAAAGCTGAATATAAGATTATTACATTGTTGTTGTTTTTTAAAAGGAGCTCCATGGCTCTCATCTGAATTGTATGATGGACATTATCTGATTTCAGCACAGTTATCATTTTTGACAATTCAGCAAGATAATTCTAGTTTTCCACTATCCAGTACCAAAAGGAGGTCCTTTCCTCCAAAACAATCTATTTTAGCTGTAGCTAAAACAAAACATTTTTTCTCACCAACATTTATCATGCCACATTCCCTGTTGCCCACATTTTGACTTTTTCCCCAGTCAAATATAGTCACCTCTACCTGCACAAAGACTTACCGGTACTTGCTCATAGCACATGACATTTCCATCATGTTATATTTAGCTGTTGCAGCAGATTATTAATTTGAGAGCCTTGATGAGATGAATTGCTTGGCAGCAAAGACGCAGAGTACACCTGCTTCTCCTCCTGTTCCAACTGCTGGACTCCAGTATCTGTTTTTTAAAATCTGTTTTATCATAATTTAGCTGTGTTGGAATATGGGTTTGTGATGTTTTCATATATTACCGTATTTTTCGCCCTATAGGACGCACTTTTTCCCCTCCAAAAATGAAGGGGAAATGTGGGTGCGTCCTATGGGGTGAATACAGGCTTCAGGAAGCTCTGCACAACCCTCCGGAGCCCGGCGCCAAGCCGTGCCGGCCTCCGGAAGGTCACGCAGAGCTGCCTGCCCCCCGGGCTCCGCGCACCTCTGCGCGACCCTCCAGAGCCCGGCGCCAAGCCGTGCCGGCCTCCGGAGGGTCGCGCAGAGCTGCCTGCCCTCCCGGGCTCCACACAGGAAATTGAATGCAGATTTCCAAAAAATAGCAAGGAGAGACAAGAAGGCCTTCTTAAACGAGCAATGCAAAGAAATAGAGGAAAACAATAGAATGGGAAAAACCAGAGATCTGTTCAAGAAAATTGGAGATATGAAAGGAACATTTCGTACAAAGATTACCATAATAAAAGACAAAAGTGGAAAGGACCTAACAGAAGCAGAAGACATCAAGAAGAGGTGGCAGGAATACACAGAGGAATTATACCAGAAAGAAATGGATGTCTCGTACACCCCAGGTAGTGTGGTTCCTGACCTTGAGCCAGACATCCTGGAGAGTGAAGTCAAATGGGCCTTAGAAAGCACTGCTAATAACAAGGCCAGTGGAAGTGATGACATTCCAGCTGAACTATTTAAAATTTTAAACGATGATGCTGTCAAGGTGCTACACTCAATATGCCAGCAAATTTGGAAAACTCAGCAGTGGCCAGAGGATTGGAGAAGATCAGTCTACATCCCAATCCCAAAGAAGGGCAGTGCCAAAGAATGCTCCAACTACCGCACAATTGCACTCATTTCACACGCTAGCAAGGTTATGCTTAAAATTCTACAAGGCAGGTTTAAGCAGTATGTGGACCGAGAACTCCCAGAAGTGCAAGCTGGATTTCGAAGGGGCAGAGGAACCAGAGACCAAATTGCAAACATGCGCTGGATTATGGAGAAAGCTAGAGAGTTCCAGAAAGACATCTACTTCTGCTTCATTGACTATGCAAAAGCCTTTGACTGTGTCGACCACAGCAAACTACGGCAAGTTCTTAAAGAAATGGGAGTGCCTGATCACCTCATCTGTCTCCTGAGAAATCTCTGTGTGGGACAAGAAGCTACAGTTAGAACTGGATATGGAACAACTGATTGGTTCAAAATTGCGAAAGGAGTACAGCAAGGCTGTATATTGTCTCCCTGGTTATTTAACTTATATGCAGAATTCATCATGCGAAAGGCTGGATTGGATGAATCCCAAGCCGGAATTAAGATCACCGGAAGAAATATCAACAACCTCAGATATGCAGATGACACAACCTTGATGGCAGAAAGTGAGGAGGAATTAAAGAACCTTTTAATGAGGGTGAAAGAGGAGAGCGCAAAATATGGTCTGAAACTCAACATCAAAAAAACGAAGATCATGGCCACTGGTCCCATCACCTCCTGGCAAATAGAAGGGGAAGAAATGGAGGCAGTGAGAGATTTTACTTTTTTGGGCTCCATGATCACTGCAGATGGTGACAGCAGTCACGAAATTAAAAGACGCCTGCTCCTTGGGAGAAAGGCGATGGCAAACCTAGACAGCATCTTAAAAAGCAGAGACATCACCTTGCCAACAAAGGTCCATATAGTTAAAGCCATGGTTTTCCCAGTAGTGATGTATGGGAGTGAGAGCTGGACCATCAAGAAGGCTGATCGCCGAAGAATTGATGCTTTTGAATTATGGTGCTGGAGGAGGCTCTTGAGAGTCCCATGGACTGCAAGAAGATCAAACGTATCCATTCTTAAGGAAATCAGCCCTGAGTGCTCACTGGAAGGACAGATCGTGAAGTTGAGGCTCCAATACTTTGGCCACCTCATGAGAAGAGAAGACTCCCTGGAAAAGACCCTGATGTTGGGAAAGATGGAGGGCACAAGGAGAAGGGGATGACAGAGGACAAGATGGTTGGACAGTGTTCTTGAAGCTACAAACATGAGCCTGACCAAACTGTGGGAGGTGGTGGCAGACAGGAGTGCCTGGTGTTCTCTGGTCCATGGGGTCACGAAGAGTCGGACATGACTAAACGACTAAACAACAACAATAAAATAGAAATAAGAAGCAGCATTGGCCTGTGGGCATCAAAAGGTCTTCCAAGAGACACTGAAACTGTCAGTGATTCAGTTGACTATTATGTTTACATCACTACTGGAAAGAAAATTGTTTGAATTTTTTGCAGGCTGTCTCTAGTATGATGTTCTCTTGAGCATGCTTTCTATGTGTTATAAAGTAGCAGGGAAACCCAACCCGGATTTCAAGCAACTGTCACTATTCCAATTATCAGCGTGTTGTTTGCATCAGCATTCTGCTTCTTTTTTCACTACAGAGGGAAGGATATATTTGTTGTTGTTGCCCTCTGCATTTTGCATGTTTCAGCCAGGTGGAAGAATTAATCTTCTCTTTGCAGCTGGATGGAGATGATAACAAGCAGCCTCTGACAGTCTTTTTCACTTACAGCTCCCCCCCCCCTTTGGGGGCATACTATCTGTAGTACTTGCTTACATAAACAAAATATTGCTAGGTACGGAAGGCGCATCTCTATTGATTCGGTGTTTTTAGTAGTGAGGTTTTCCCACACTATGCTCGATGCATTTCCAATATTGTTGGCACCAATGTCTGTCAGAATCTATAATAATTTCTACAAATATAATGGGCTATATTAGTAATTCCTGTTGTTCAGAAGAATGTTTTATTTTTCAGTTAGCCATGGAGTTTAACCAACTAAATTGTTTGGAACATTATCACTCCAACAAAAAGGAGAATCTCTAAGCCATTTAAGTAGCTAGCAGCATCACTGCAATGAGACAGCTGGAATTTGAATCAGGGTTTGGAAAAACCCAATGCCCAATGGAGGAATGAAAATTGGAGTAAGAAGAGTGAAAAAAGGAGTAAGTGAGACCATTAAATTGTTCAACAGCACAGTCTATTCAGAAGTTCCATTGACTTCAATGGGATTTACTCCCAGGTAGGTTTCTACACACTATAGGATCACAGCCTAAGAGTGTAAAAATTGACCACAATTAGCTTATAGTATATGGCTTACTGAGTAGTAAGAGAGACTTAAAAAGTACTTGTGGTTTTGCTGTTATAAGAACAAGCCAGTATGAGCCTTGGACTTGCACGCTGTTCCTTGTCCATCATGTGCAGGAGGAAGAGATCTAAAGCTAAAGATCTAAATGGTGGTTTGTTGAAGTCACAATTTGTTGACAAGTCAGGACAGCAACTTGATCCTGGTTCAGACTAGGACCAGTGTGACCTGTGTTTGGGGATGGGGGGAGAGCTCTACTCAGCCATGAAGCTCGCTTCATCCAGTTCCTCATCCCTGCTATTGTCCAGAAGTTTCAGAGAGAAAGTATTTCTCTATTCCACAGTCCAGCAGGTGGCAGGCTATTCTCAGTAACATTGACAGACACAATGAAGGATTCTCTTAATAATTTATGGAGGGTATAATCTTTCCTTACATTGCTTTGAACCTTGAATCCATCTCCTTAAATATTCAAGAAGACATGCCAGGATTCTTGATGCATGCCAGATGGGTGGGGTATAAATAATAAATTATATTATTATTGTTGTTGTTGTTATTTTTATTTTGGAAATGTCTGCCTTTCACACTTCACACATTTACTGAGAGGAGATGCTGGTGCAACACCTTTGTAACTGTGGCAAACACAATTGCTTGTGTGAAGCAAACCTCACTCCTTGCATTCATAGCTGTGATGGATTGCGACAAGCTTCCTTTACAAACACAGGATTTCCTTCAACAGAGAACAGGAAGAAATGGATATCGAAACATGGTGTTGCAAGTATAATCTTTAGATGGCAAACAGTAAACAGAGCCTTTATATATGTTCAACAGGAGATTGTACCCTGTCCAAAGAAAAATAACACCTGACATTTCATTTATTTAAATGAATTACCTAACAATGAGGCTTTGTGCCTGAATAGAGCATGGGCTGGAGCACAGCACACACTGGCTAGCCCCTGCCTGTCATTGCCTGGAGCGGCTGCAGTGATGCTGGCCTAATTACCGGGAATGGAAAAGAAGCAGATCGTAAAGGTTGTAAAGTGACTTTTTTTTAAAGATTAAAAGGGATGCTCCTACCATTAGGCAGAATGAGACAGTTGCCTCAGGTAGCTGTTTCTGGGTGTCAAAAAGGATAGCAAATTGCTATCTGTAATATTATTGTTAAGGGATGCGGGTGGCGCTGTGGGTAAAACCTCAGCGCCTAGGACTTGCTGATTGCATGGTCGGCGGTTCGAATCCCCGTGGCGGAGTGCGCTCCCGTCGTTCAGTCCCAGCGCCTGCCAACCTAGCAGTTCAAAAGCACCCCCGGGTGCAAGTAGATAAATAGGGACCGCTTACCAGCGGGAAGGTAAACGGCGTTCCGTGTGCTGTGCTGGCTCTCCAGATGCAGCTTGTCACGCTGGCCACGTGACCCGGAAGTGTCTGCGGACAGCGCTGGCTCCCGGCCTATAGAGTGAGATGAGCGCACAACCCTAGAGTCTGTCAAGACTGGCCCGTACGGGCAGGGGTACCTTTACCTTTAATATTATTGTTACAGACACTTTTCTGCCTCGGGTGCCAAAATTACTTGACCAGCTTTGGATACTGCACCTTGACTTGAGGTAGGTGGGCTTCATTGCTTGATGTGCCACAGGCAACAAATTGTCTTGTGCCAACTCTGTTGTCTTTATTTACTTATGTGCTACAAACTGGCCTTCTCTGAATATGGTAAGCTACTGAAATATATACAATTTAAGTTCTATAATCCACAATTTGCATTGGCAGCCAGTCAGCAATCAGGCTACATTCAAAGTATTGGGCTTGGTGTACAAAACTATACAACTTGAGACCAGAATACCTGAAAGATGCTCTCATCCCTTATACACTCAACTGATACTCAACTTGAGGGCAGTGGGATAGCTCAGTTGGTAAGAGCATGAGACTCATAATCTCAGGGTTGTGGGTCTGAGTCCCATGTTGGGCAAAAGATTCCTGTATTGCAAGGGCTTGAACAAGATGTCCTTCATGGTCCCTTCCAACTCTGCAGGATAGAGCATCTTCCAGATACCATCTTATTAAGAGGTCCATTCCACACAATATGGAATATACACAGTATGGAAATCTGGCATCTACTCCTTGGAACTCTTCCATTACATAGCAGACTGGTGGTGTGGTGAGTGGTTTGGGCAAGGCAGCAGCACTGTGAATATGTCCCAGTGAGCAGCTTAACAGAGGTGAACCAAAGCCTTCTGCCCCCAGGCCATCTCTTGGACTAGTGTGGTAGGATGGGTGGTACTCGGTTTCTTCGGCCAGAGGAAAGTGACTGAGAGTCCTGGCTTTTTTGTTTTGTTTGTTTAATATTTTTGAACAATCCTTCAGTGGAGTTTAATGTATCTGCTATGTTTTATAAATGCTGTTAGCCACTTTGAGGACTCAAGTAAAAAAGCAGGCTATAACTCTCCTAAACAAACAAACAACCTTTTAAAATGACTTTCCATTTTAAAGTAATCTTTCCATTTTCAATTTCATATTATTGATAGGAGTGATGCTCTGGAAACAAAGTTCTTGGTGCTACTTCTAAAAATGCCCTTGGTATACATTGTGGAAACCCTGATTTAAAATCTAAATTTGCCTGTACATCTTGACACCTGTAATCGTCACAAGTAAGTGAGAAAATATTGATTGCAATTATACTGTGTGTTAGCAAAGCATCCAGACACTAACAAAAACATTAAAAGTAAATACCTATCAGCCTTCCTATATAGACAGAAAATGTTTAGCCAGAGATGCAATATATTCATTTTTAATTTTAAGGACTCTTTTATAATTTTACAGCCTGTAGTACCCAGGTTATGAAGACAGTTTCCAATTCAAATAATGGAAATCACAGCTTTAAAATGCAGACATATGAGAAGGGAGCTTTCAGCTGTCATGACTTCAGCAACGGCTTTGACATATATTTGATAAGATCTGCTATGGAGGGTGCTGAAACAAAGCTAGCTGTTAGATCTTCCTCCCATTGGATGAAAGAGATGGGTAAAAAGAGTTTAAAACATTATTCAAATCTCATAGGACTAGTATGGGGCCTGTCAGATACCATTTGGAGTGAAATTGACAAAGGAACTCCACCAAGAAAAAGACACAGATTCCACTTTCAAGATTTATAGTTTCTTAAATTTATATGCTTCCCAGACACATAAAATGCACTGAGTTGTTAACATAATCATAATAAGATTACAACTGAACACAACAGCTAAAATACAATGGCAACCGACATATTTAACATTGTTAAATGTTATTTACCATTGTTAAATATGAGATCTCTAAAAACCTAACAGTGCAATCCTTTCTTCGAGTTACACTTACTAGAAGAGAACAGGATCGTGGTAAAAAAAAATTCTTGCTGGGTGCAACACAAAGATATAATGGGGTTGTAGATGTAGACTGCTGTTGCAATTCTTTTGTGTAGGCATTACATCATGCCAGCGTGACTGTAAACTCCACTGTTACATTAGTGGTTCAACAGGAAAATCTGAAGATGGCTGGGGCTTGGTGGGGAAGGAACAAGCCTGGCTTTAAACCCTAGGCTTATTTAGAGGTTGATCCCATGCATTCCTCTCCACCTGGCATCATGTTACACCTTCAAACGCCCTTGAAGTTAGCAGAGATCCCAAGACATCTGTACTGTCACCTCCTCCTTCCCATCCCCACAGTCACAATGCAAAGGAAGATGTTCTTAATTCTTCCTTGGAATCACCTACTTTAATTCAAGCCTGCAATGCAAAGAATCTCAAGCTGCATTCACAAAGGAAAAAATATTCCTTTGTGACTGACAGGTCCGTAGCACCACCGACCTATCAAAATGGCTCTTGTGGGTGGGATGGACAGATTCTGTTCCCCATCTTTGGCCTATTGGAAGTTTACAAGCAAGTCATGCCCAGCCTATCACCACCTCCTCACTCCTCACAAAGCAGAGAATGGTCCAGCAGCTCAGAATTTCTTGAACGAGTAACATGCCAGTGGCTGTAGTGTCTGCATCCAGGCCTTTGATTGCTGATTGCCCCAAAAGGTGAAGATGCAGGGGGCTTTGGGTAGCTGCTGTGCATTCACTGAATCAATATGAATTATAGGGGAATGTTTACACTTAAGAGGCAGGGATGGTGAGGCTTCGCCTGCTGCCTTTGTTCACAAGTACAGTGGTACCTCAGGTTAAGAACTTAATTCATTCCGGAGGTCCATTCTTAACCTGAAACTGTTCTTAACCTGAGGTACCACTTTAGCTAATGGGGCCTCCCGCTGCCGCCGCGCGATTTCTGTTCTCATCCTGAAGCAAAGTTCTTAACCTGAGGTACTATTTCTGGTTTAGCGGAGTCTGTAACCTGAAGCATCTGTAACCCGAGGTACCACTGTAATCTATTGGCAAATACAGTTGCCTACTTCTGCTTAACAATTTCTTCAGTGTCATTATAGTTACAGGAAAAAAAATTTTTTTACACCTACAGCTTTGGCTTTCTCTCTTTCTCTCCTCCACCCCACCCCCTTGCTCTTACATTAGATTCAATGTGAGATAGGCAGCAAGTAATAAAGAGGTGGATCATCCGGGTTACTTTTTAAGCTCATAAGCATAATGCATTATAGCATAATACAAATTATGTAAGAGCTCACTCTTCACAAAATGTGGAGGAAAACAGCATAGAAAATGAGGAGGAAGGCCCCCCAAACTCCAATGCAATTAATGAAAAAGCACTGTGATTATTATTATTTCAAAAATGTGTTTTAGAGCACTTAGCTAATCAGCAGCTTAAACTGAACAAGTCGGTCAGAACAATGCAGCTCTCCATTACTTAATTCCATCATAGTCTTACTACACTAGAACAACATACTGTAAATGTGACAGTTCTGGTGGTCCTTGGGACACTGAACAAGTGCTGATCCCTGGAACTGTTGCTCTGTCCCAGAATGTCTTCTCACATCCCACCTGGTTTTACAAATCAAAATTGCAGCTGTAAAAACCTGCAGTCATTCAGTCGGCATAGAGGCTGTAAATATGGGTGCTCAGTCAGCATCCCACCACAGGCAGTACCTTGGATAAATGTTCAATTTGTCCTACAGGTGAGCTTGCAATATTAAGCTGCAGGTAAGGCAGATTCCCTATAGCCATGGCATGGTAGAAAGCAAAGGCTTCCAACTTTTGGGGGGCACAAAACTATTTAAAAAAAATAATTGTGAGGGATAGGCAGTCTTGGTAGATGCCGAGGGCAGTGTCTGAGAGTGTAATGGTGCCCATAGGTTCCATGTTGCGGGTCCCAGGCGCAAAATAAAAAGTACAAAATTGTACTGTCCTATTGGGCATCTCTGGGCAGTTGCATTTCTACTGCTGTCATCTTCCTTATACAAGTAGACACAGCCACAAAGTATATAGAACTCAAAAGCTATTCAGCATTAGGTATTGCAGCACACTCTAAATACCTCAGTTCATACCACTGATCACATTCAAGAGCTGTCCTGTAAGCAGTAAGCCTTACTATATTTAAGCAAGGCAGTTTTTTCTCCTGGCAGCTCAGACTCAGCATTTTTCTGGAACAGGCACGAAGAAGGGAAAATCTTTCTTTTTTTTTCCATTCCAGATTTCCCCCACATTTCTACGTAAGTAAATAATGAGGTAAAAGGGTCTACATAATGAAATCTGCTTCCCTGTCTACACTTACCTCCTTCAGAGACTCTGGATGGCTCCTTTCTTCACACAAAGACTGCAGTTCATTGGCACCCAGGTTCTTCCAGTTCCTCCTCCTCCTCCTGGAGTTTTCTGGACTCCACCTTGCCTCTCTGCCTTTTCTGAATTCAGCATCAATTTATTTGCCCACATCCAGCCCATCACCACTTCCAAACACTTAGTTGGAGTTAAGAAAGTGTTGGTGAACTGCACTGAAAAGGGTAGGATGCGCAAGTGGGACATATAAATCAGGATGAATTTGGGATAAATGTGCATTGCTGTATATCTGGCAAGCAAATCAGGATGAATGCTCAATAAGCAGGTCATCTGGAGGAGTCCCAAGTTTTCATTAATAAATTTAAAGCATACTGGGCACCTAGAAGAAATTTTATCCAAGGACAGACACAAGTTTGTCATTAGAATTTTGCATCTTATCCAACATGTGAGACAGAGCTAAGGGTCAGCAAACTTTTTCGGCAGGGAGCCGGCCCACTGTCCTTCAGACCTTGTGGGGGACCGGACTATATTTGGGGGGGGGGGGAATGAATGCATTCCTATGCCCCACAAATAACCCAGAGATGCATTTTAAATAAAAGCACACATTCTACTCATGTAAGAACACGCTTATTCCTGGACCGTCCACGGGCTGGATTTAGAAGGCAATTGGGCCACAGGAGGGGAGAGTACCCTAGGTCCTGTTTGCTGGTTTCCCACAGGCATCTGAGTGGCCACTGTGAGAACAGGATGCTAGAATTGAGATGCATAGGTCTGATTCAGCAGGCTCTTATTATGTTGTTATATGTTCTTAGGGAATCTTCCTGTAATCCTTCAGGTGTTGTTGGACTCCAGTCCCCATCAGCCGCAGCCAGCATGGTTGTAGATGATGGGTGTTCTAGCCCAACATCCAGAGAGCAACAGCTTAGCTTCCCTTGGTCTGTAGGGAGCAGCAACTCCCATGGCACTTGAAGCATATAACACAATGGTTGTGTGATGCATTGCACTCATATACCATATTTTTTGCACCATAACACTCACCTTTTTCCTCTTAAAAAGTAAGGGGAAATGTCTGTGCGTGTTATGGAGGGAATGCCTACTGGTGGCATGCCTACGGATTTTCCTCCTCTAAAAACTACGTGCGTGTTATGGTCGGGTGCGTGTTATAGAGCGAAAAATACGGTATGTGACAAGTGTTTTCTTTCCCCCTATGTCTTGAATCTGAGGCAGAGTTTCTCTTGTGCACTAGAAATGGCCTGGCTATCCCCCTGACAGAAGCATTTATGGGCAAAAGCCTATTCAGGAACACAGCTGTGTATGAGGACAGAAGACAAGGCAATGAAATGTTCCAGATCTGGTTTGTCCAGTGAATAAACTACCAGTAGGCTATAGAAGCAGGGGAGTTTTACATAAAGGATTTTGCCTAGCCCTAGGTCGGGGGGGGGGGGCAGGCAGAAAAAGAAGGCAGCTGGGGGCAAAGCCTTACAGCGCTAAGTCTAGACGTGGCCCACAGAGAACGTGCCAGATGCAGAAAAGAAGGCAAAAGAGGCAGAGCAGGTCTGCATATTACAGCTGCCAAGTGAGGCTGCCAAGTAAATGGAACTGTGAGTAGAGGTTTTAATGGAAGGAGTGGGTCTCATCTGATATCGGGATAACACTTATTAACTCTTAGGCAGTACGTGATCGTGATTGACTGTAACAGCACTTGTGTCAGTAGTCACTGAGACTGAAATGCACACATTCTTTAAATACAGAATTAAAACGTAAGGCCGGACATTTTAAAACACCTTAAAAAGTGCAAAAACTTCCTGTTGGGTCAACAGCATGATGGAAGCCCCGACTCTTTGCTGCCACTGACATGGCTTGACTCGCTTGCATGACCTGTGCGTGGGACATCCTGGCTTCGCGGGTACCGGCCCACGCAAGGTACTTTTCTGAAGTCTACCTTTTCCCCCTCTACTTATGGGCCTCTGTCATATACTTTGGGTGACGTGGGTGGACCCAGGCGGCCTCCCCCCCCCCCCCAATCTAAGGCCCTATCTGGAATCCGCGCGCAGCAAAAGCACAGGCGTGAGCGGCGGGGCCCAGCGGCTACTACTGGAGAGCGTTCGCTTCCTCTCTCGCGCCTCGGCTCTCCCCGTCTGGCGGCCCATCCGCTCTCCCTCTCGCGCCCCCCCTTCCACCGGCGCAGAGCGCGAGAGAGCAGGAGCGAGGTCGCGAGGGAGCGCGTTACCCGGCATGCAGCGGGAGGCGCGTTCGCACCAAGATGGCGGCGCCTCTGGAGGAGTACGAGAAAGAAGCGGGCTGCGTCCCTATCCTGCACCCTGAGGTGAGGCCCTGCTGGCTTTAAGGCCTCCCTCGCAACCCCGTCAGCCTGGAGAAGAAGCTGGGTGGCGGCGAGAGGGAGGAGGAGGAGCGGAAAGTGGCGGCGGCAGCGGAGGCCTCCGCCCTCCTCTTGGCACTCCTTTCCCAGGCGGGGGCGGAGGTTGGCCCGGAGGCGCGGGCAGGATTGTCTGGGAGGGAGAAGCGGCGGCGGCGGCGGGTGCGCCTTGGCGGGGCTGCGGGGAGGGGAAGGGAACAGGCTGGGCAGGCAAGCTCCCCAGTGCCCGCAGGGGTGGGTAGGTAGAGGACGAGGCTTTGCCCTGTCCCCCTCGTTAATTCTGATTCCCTCACAAGGATATTTGGGGTGGAAACTGGATGGGGAGGGGGTGTCCTCCTGGACAATCCGTACCCAATGAACCGCTTTCCCTTAATCACACATAAAGGAGCGAGGAACTGCAGGTGCCTTGAGTTTACTTGAAAAAAGAAGAAAAAAAAGGGGGGGTCCTGAGACTCAAAAACCTCAAGAGAGAAGTATCACACTCCTCTAGTTAAACGCTGAAAAAGGCTTTTGAACCTGCTAATGGCCCAAGCGCGCAATTGCACAATTTAGGGGCCCGCAGGGCAGCTTTCTGGTTTGGCTGTTCTCTGCCTGTTTGGGTAAAAGGATTCAGAGCTAGATTTAAACAAGAGCAATACACTTTCTGGTCTTGTGAGGTCATTGATCTCCTTTCCCCCTTTTCGCTGTAGAGTTTGGGGCCTATTGTGGCTTACAGCTTGATCCTATAAATTAGGGGAACAAAGAGTGTGGTAGCTCTCTGAAGATGGGCATATTTATTATGGGATAAACTTTTGTTAATTTTGTACGGGCGTAATGTATTTGTTGGTTTTTAGGACATAATACATGGTGAGTGTTTTAAAAGAGGCCCCATGGAACATGTGTACTCTGTATCCACGGTGCCTCTTTTAAAGGACTGTGTATTTGTTAGTTTTTAAAGGTGTTGCAAAGTTATGCTTTTCTCTCTGACAGATTAACAGAGTTTCTGGAAGTTGCATTAGTTACAAACTAATTAGTTACAGACTTACAAAGAATAGACTTCTTTGTAAGATTTACTGGCTTCCAGGCAATCAGTTGCTGGGAAACACCAATTTCTTTTCTACTCTCATAAGCGTGACTATCAGGAAGATGACTGCAGTGGTGTTATGGGCACCTAATGAATAGTGCTCTATGTTGTCATTAATAGGTGCCTTAGTTGTTTCTCAGTTACCTGCCAGTGTACTTAAAAATGCCAGTGCACTTAAAAACAAAAAAATTCCAACTGTTTCTCTGTCCATTGTGCTTACCTTTCTTTTGAAGATTTATAAGTCTTCTACATTTTAAAAATCCAGCCTTTCCTGCCCCAGAAAGACAAGTCGTCCAGTATAGCAGGGACATATTATATTTTGCTGTTTAGATGCTGGTGGTAGCAGTAGCAGAGATAACCTGTGCCAAGAAAATCCTTTGGTAGTCATCTTATTTTTAAACGTTAACTTGTCAATATTCTAGTACTCAAAATCTAATTTTATAGGGCTGCAGCCCTACAAGAAATGGTCTTGAAGGCCATTTTTATAGTTTTATAGCTGCTTCCTGCATAGTATAATGAAGGACATGCTTTGGTTAATTATGAAATATTATGTCATTAAAAGGTGTGCCAAATATCGGGGGGTGTTTGGGTTTGTTTTTTTACTGAGCAGATGGTATTTTTCTTAGTCAACTTATTGAGGATTTGTCTAAGACTGTATCTTAAATTTGATAATCCTTTTCCTTCCATTTGATTTCATCAGTGAAAATAATGTAATTGAAGGTATACAATAAAATATTTATGGTAAAAACAAGCAAAATAGTAACAAGACATGGCTAAGAAAATGCCATGCACTTGGGAGTATTTTACATAGCAATCCTATACTCCATTTGGGGAGGGGAGCTGGGGAGATCACCACTGTGCTAGTGTAATTACCACCATAGTCTGTGTATAGTCAGCCCTGGAAGCAGGTGGGTGAAAAACAATCAGAAAATTTAAAAATGGCATATAAATAGCAGATATGTGCCCAGCACCTCTGGAAACATCAGCACAACCCACTAGTTGGGAACTTTGCCAGTGAGAGTGCCAACATGAAAATGAGCCAATGAACTGTGTTGGATGTTAGCTTGTTTCAGACAAAGAGTTAACATTAATCACTGTTCGTTAGTTTGTACACTACAACAAACTGTGGTTAAATAAAAAAAGAAGCAAAAGCTTCCAAACTTGATGCAGCTATACCAGAGGAAGAATGGGAATGATGGAACATGTAAGCACATAAGAAGACTCTGCTGGATCAGGCCAATGGCCCATCTAGTTCAGTATCCTGTTCTCATAGTGACTGCCTGTGGGAAACCTGCAATCAGGATTCAAGTACAAGAGCACTCTCCCCTTTTGTGGTTTCCAGCAGCTGATATTCAGAAGCATTGCTGCCTTGAGTCTAAGGCTCACTGCAGCTCATTCCCATGATGCTAAACTGTGGTTTAGCATGATCCCCGAACACATTCACTGAATGTCAAAAAAGAAAAGGGGAAAAAGAAGACAATTTTTGATTGTTGTATCTGGGCCTGTGTTCTCAGCGATGTCCATGCATGGTGTAGTTAAGTATCTACAATTAATGAAAGCCATAATACTTTTTCTGTGTAGTTATTTTCATGTTCCACTACAAGTAGTCTTTTGTTGAGAAAGCCACATATGATACATTTAAAGGCTATCCGGCCATTGAATGTTGATTAACCTTTTAATGATAGCTAAATCATTTTAATGATGGATATATAATAAGGAAATGTTAAAGGGAAACTAAGATAATGGGGAAGCAGGTGGAGAGAGGAGGGGCTGGATCTAAACATTCTCAATTCCTGGTCTTTTTTAGATCAAACTAAAACTTAACAGAGATGTCAGAACTGGAAGACTGATGGTTGATTTAAGTAGTCTTCTTATAGTGTGTGGTTCTACGTGTGTGTGGTTCTAAGTTGAGACTGATCAAGAGTGTGATTGAGTTCATGAGATGTTTAACATTCTAGATTGCTGCTGTAAGTTAAAGTGTATATCCTCAGCTTTTTCCAAAACATGGTTTCTTAAGGTATTTTCTTTATGTAGGAGAGATGCTACTGGTGGCCACCCAAGAAAAGTTGAATGTTGAAAGATTCAGCACAAACAAAAGAAAATACTTTTTCACTCTGCACATAGTTTACTTCTAGATCTTGCTCCCCAAAGATTAAGTGATGGCCATCAACTTTAATGGATTTAATAAAGAATTAGACAAATTCATGGTGGATTGATCTATTAATAACTGTTCATCATGATGGCTGTGTTCTACCTCCACAGTCAGAGGCACTGTACCTGATGCCATTTGCTGGGCATCACAAGTGGGGAGAGTACTGCTCCACTTGGGTCTTGCTTGCAGGCTTCCCATAGTTGGCCTCTGTAAAAACAGAGTGTTGGACTGGTTAGGTGTTTGATTTGATCCAGCAGGGCTCTTTCATTGCTTTTTCTGGTATGAGATCTGGCAGAGGCAGATAAGAATATTTTGTTCCAGTCTCACAACTTCAGAGGTAATTATAGAGATGGAGCATATGGTCTGTAGACACAGAGATGGTGTGAGACTGCCAAGTAAATGGAACTGTGAGTAGAGGTTTTAATGGAAGGAGTGGGTCTCAGCTGATATCAGCATAACACTTTTTATTAACCTCCAGGTGGTACGTGATCAAGATTGACTGTAGTAGCACTTGTTTCAGTAGTAACTGACACAAAATAAATGCACACATTCTTAAATGCAGAATTAAAACGTAAGTCTGGACATTTTTAAACACCCTAAAAAGTGCAAAATTGAGTGACTCTTACTTTTGGGTCAGTAACATGGAAGCCCTAACTCTGTGCTGTGGATGAATGGTGATTAGCTAGAATGTAAAAGTCCCACACCATTAATTAATTCTTGACATTAAACATCACAAGAGCCTTGAGTGTGCAGGTGTATTTTTAAGAAATACAGACATTTCCTTAGCATTTTGTGCTTATTGGAGCTCCATGAAGAAGTAATTCAATAGGAAGTGGGCAGCTATGGCGGACACTAGTTGTCACTAAACAAGATTGTGACACAACAAAGAGGGCCTCTGAAATCCATACATGCCTCGATGTTTTTGGGTGTGCGTGGAGTGTACTGAGAGCCAGTGTGGTGTAGTGGTTTAGAGCGATAGACTCGTAATCTAGGGAACTGGGTTCGTGTCTCCGCTCCTCCACATGCAGCTGCTGGGGGACCTTGGGCCAGTCACACTTCTTTGAAGTCTCTCAGCCCCACTCACCTCACAGAGTGTTTGTTGTGGGGGAGGAAGGGAAAGGAGAATGTTAGCTGCTTTGAGACTCCTTCGGGTAGTGCTAAAGCGGGATATCAAATCCAAACTCTTCTTCTCTTCTTCCTAGTATCTCCTTTGCAAATGGGCTCCATCACCTAGCCCCCACCCCCGAGCCAGGTCACCTGTGGTCTGAAACGGCTAGGATTTTGCTGGACGCAGCGTTAAGTCTTAAAGGGGTTACAACTTGCACAAAAACAAAGAAACATGGCAGCAGTACCGCCAAGCGGCTCCCTTGTGGCAAGCCATGACTGCTGCCAAAGGCGTGTGGGTTCCACTTCTAGCCACAGCTCCTGTGGAAGTGCTGATTATGGGGAAGACATCCCTCACCATCCAGGTCTCCCCAAGTCTGACCCTGGGCACTGGTGGGCCAGCTTCTTCTTTGGAAAGACGACCCACCCAGTCATGACAACTGTGTTGGAATCCCTAGAGAACCCAGGAACTTTAAAGATGGCGAACTACATGATTACATGTGGCCTGGCTCAGGATGTGATGTGGAAGTGCTACGCCAGTGAGCCCAGCAAACCGAATACAGTTTCCACTGCATGAGGAGACTGACACTCCCTGGCCAGAATCTTCTGACTTGAGCACTAGGAAGCAGAACCCATTTTCCACTCCCCCTTCCTGTAGAGTAGAGCAAACTGCTTTGAGTACTTCTTAGACACAGGTTTTTATAGAAGCAAAAATGGCAACAAAAGGGGAGGGAGGAGAAATCTTCTCTACCATCCTTTTCTACAACTTTGTTTTTTTTCAATGCAGCTGCATCTTCTCCCCTCTCTCCCCACCCAACAAAGCCTTATTAACACTTAATTCTTGTTTTGTACTTGTCTGATGGAAACTAATAAATCCTGAGCAGCCTTCTAAAAAAATAAAGAAGGTCTCTGCAGTTGAGCACAGTGCTTAAGCAGGGTAGTAGGGCTCCTGCAGGTATTTTTCAGAGCTTTGTAGGTTAAAACCAAAACCTTGAAGTTGACCCAGTAGTTTATTGACAGTCACTGCAACTCCTTAATGAGTGGTACAGTATGTGCACAGTAGGATGCTCCACCAAGTAACCTCACTGCAGCATCCTGCACCAACTGCAGCTTCCAAACCAACCTCAAAGGGAATTTTGCATTGAGGGCATTATAGTAATCCAGTCTAGAAGTTACCAGTGCATAGGTCACAGAAGCCAGGCTGTCCTGGTCCAAGACTTGGAGCATTTGATATATCAGCCAAATCCAGTAGAAGGCACTCCTAGTCACCATAGCCACCTGGACTCCTATGAACAAAGAAGAGTCACGGTGTACTCTCAAATGGCATATACAGTCCTTTGCAGGGAGTGCAACTCCATCTAAAATAGGTTGGTTTCATCACCCAGCTCCTGGATTGGAATCCACCCCCCCATAGTCTTGCCAGGATCGAGTCCATTTCTGCATCTGGACCCTGGTTTAGGCCTCACCTGAGATACGACGGAACTGAGTATCATTAGCACATATGATATTCATACTGTTTTGTTATACACACAATTTCAAACATGGTTCATGAGATACTAAGTAGTCTTGATAAACACCTGTATTTATTTAACAAATGTGACTAAGATCCTCTGTCTAAACTTGGTAGCTCCAGCCCATGTCTGCAGTGTAAGAACTATCCCTGCAAGGTATTGTTTAATTCCGTTAAGAGTTACTGTGCCTCATCTCTAGTGTATATTTTCTGAAGCAGAAATTAAGAGTTGGCTTGTAAGACATTCATTAGCCTATGTGCACAAAACATTGGTGCATGCCATAAAGTTTTTCAGTGGTCTCCTTTCCATTGTTCCCTGCTGGACAGTTGCTTTTATGTCAAAATAGGCTGCACTGATTTAAAGAAAATGTGATGAATGCTAGAATAGCAGTCAGGTTTTCTATTGCAACGAAAACAACAGAGGGTTGGATCCAAAGCTGTTCCTGTGTGTTGAACTAGAAAAGTGAAACTAAAACCCAAATAGGTTTTTCCATGTGTGCAGGCTGCTGCTCAAGTGGAATCAAAAGAATTGCTGGATAATTTACCTGCATGAATGTACCAGGAACTCTCTGTGTGCAAATGGCTGTGAAACAGCACTAGCAGCTGTTCTAATTCTTCACATAGCTCTTTGTGTTTAACACAGGGTTTCCTGTGGCATATTAGAGACTGTCTGATACTGCTTGTAATTTTGTGTGGTGTATGTAGAGATGGAAGAACCCTGCTGTTTTATCCACATGTCTCTTCCATGTTCCCCAACTTCCTTTTCTAGTTGTGTAGCTGCTTCATAACTTTTCCCGCTTTCCAACCCCACTGCCTCCCATTTCTGAAGACCTACAGTAGAGACTGGGATGGTTCTGGTGGGGCAATGGAATAGGACAACGTTTCTCAAACTTGGATCTCCACTCCACTTGTAGTTGGGTCTCCACTCCACTCTCCCTGACCACTGGTCTTGCTAGCTAGGGATGATGGGAGTTGTAGTTCAACAGTAGCTAAAGACTCAAGTTTGAGGATGGTAATAATACACTACATAGTTGAGCACATGTAAATCTTACTGAAATCAACAGGATTTAAGCATGCTTAACTGTAGATTCTATTATACCCAGGTTTTTTTGTAAAGTCTTTGTTATATTTCCCCCATTGAAATTTATGCTACATGAACAAATGCTATTCTTAGAAATTTAACTAAATCCATATGCTTTTAAAGAGGTGTTCTCAGTAAACAAATGTTTAAAGATGTTATGTAAGTATAGAAGAACAGTTTGACAAGAATACTTGACCCTTTTAATACTTCTTAAAAAAACATAGATTGACACAGCAGATTCTATGGACTGGTGAAGTCAATAGAGGAAAATCTCCCATTGATTTTAATGCATGTGTATTTCAGCTTGAATGAGTAAAATTTAACTAATCTGAATGGTCCATTAAAAAAAAAGGTGACAGCTTATTCCATGCCAGCTGTGCATGAAATCACATGATCTTTCTGACCTCCAAATGCAGTGTTTGGATTAAAAGCTCTGGTCATGCATCTGTCCATCCCTTTGTTATGTAAAAACAGCATAAGCATATTGGAGAATGTGCAGGATTAATCAGTTAGTTAAATGACTGATTCTTGCTGAATAAAATTCCCCTGTTGTTTTCTATTAGCTTATGAGAACTATTTTTGAATATCTGAAAAAATGCAATTTGTTAGTGCTGTTTGCTTTCACAAATTGTTTCAAACATTGTGCTTCTTGTTTCTGCAGTTAGCGATTTAGTTTTTATATTTATAATGCCACAAACTTTCTCCTGCAGAAAAAACAGCCTAAGGATCTCTCTCTAGCATATTCTCTTTTCTATGCAAAGCTAGCACTCACAGAATATCAGTCTGAAGTCCTTTTGCCCATGTTACACGCATGTAGTCAGTTATTTTTTAATAGCATATTCCATCTTTCAAAATAATTGGCCAAGTTTGTAAACAAATAAATAACTGAAATCAAACTGAAAACAATTGTTAGTTAAACGAAGATAATTGGTAGCAGGAGTAATAATTTGTGTATAACCACAGCAAATAATTGGAGTACATTGTTCGAGTGAGTATACTGGGTTTGGGATATAAGAAGCTGCCTTATACCAAGTCAGACCACTGATCCATCAGACAGAAATATTTTCCCAACTTTACATGGAGATTCTAGGCCAGGGATTAAACCTGAGATCTTTTGCTTGCAAAGCATGTGATTGGCCACTGAACTGTAGCCAATTGGGTTACATCCATTGTGGCTTTGCACTAGTGGAAATTGCTTCTGCAGTGCAGGCCATCCAATTTTCACTGATCTCTCTGCCTCCACCGCCACTACTGGCCACATCTACTGCACCTTTCTCTACTGTATTCCATATTGTTGAAGAGTGTGTCTCAGTTTTTATGAAAAGCTTTTTTCTGGTGCAGCGTAGTCTGCAGTTAATAAGGGGAATTGGGGGGAAAAGAGGTGCCCTGACTTACCCAAGCTGAAGTGCTTTCCAGTGGTGACCTTTCTCTAGCAGATACAATGCACTATTATATTTGTATCTCACCCAATAACCAAATAGGCCTCAGAACATTTCCAACAGAACATTGACTAACAATAAAAAAACCCCAAATAAATAATTATAATTAAAAGGGGTGTCTTTGAAAGTCTTAACGCAGGCTTCCTCAATCTTGGCCCTCCAAATGTTTTGAGACTACAATTCCCATCATCCCTGACAACTGGTCCTGCTAGCTAGGGATCATAGGAGTTGTAGGCCAAAAACATCTGGAGGGCCGAGGTTGTGCAAGCCTGTCTTAACGTTAACTTTGTAAGCTAAAACAAAACTCTTAACTACTGGCTTTGTTCAAATGTCACATTAAACTGTAATTGTGTTAAAAAAGAAGTTTGTGGATTTTACTAAATACGCAAGAAATTATTATTTGAGCAAAACAAGCCACAATCTTTGAATCAGATGTAAAGCTAAGCCAAAAATTGTGGTTTGTTTGTCATGCTAGTGAGGAGGAGCAAAGCAGGTGAAATCAGCGCGTTCCTAATAAATGATTAACTTTATTTCATAATGACATGCAAACTGAGCCACTGTTTCCTGCTTGCAGTCTGGCTGACTTTTCCACATATTTGCTTGCAACTACCTTCAGTTTTGATTCCACCTCACTGTTTTTGGACTGTGGGAAGATACAGTCATACCTTGGTTGACAAACACCTTAGCAGTCAAACGTTTTGGCTCCTGAACTCCACAAACCCGGAAGTGAGTGTTCCGGTTTGCAAACATTCTTTTGGAAGTCCGGTGGGGCTTCCACAGCTTCCAATCGGAAGCTGTGCCTTGGAAATCGAACGTTTTGGAAGTCGAATGGACTTCCGGAACAGATTCCGTTCGGCTTCCAAGGTACGACTACAAGAAGGCAGAGGGTGCTTGCATGCTTAGCACCTTCCTAGCAATAGCTGGCCAGGGCAAGCCTTTCCTTCCTCTTCTTTCCACTTCTACTTCAACACGCATTGATGGTGACTGTGAGAGCTCCTTAGCTCAGTGTGCTCTGTACACTTTCCCACACACCCTGCTTTGTTGGAAGTGCTTGGGATGTGCTAGTTGTGGTAGCTGTTCTCTGGGCATCCAATGCACTGGAAGAGGAGGATGAGTTTACATATGCAGCTGCTATACTGTTAGAAAGGTAGTAGCCACAACTCTGGCTAGTGGCACCTCATCTTTAATAGACTGAATGCAATAATGTATTGATTAGTGTCACTTTTTGTGGTCACCAGCAAGGGAAAGAAGATCTTGGAATTATAGTAGATTGAGTTATTCTTGGTGCTCTGGATAGAAAAATAAAAGCAATGATGCAGTGTTTTTCCATTTCCTTAGGAGGTGGAATCAAGATGTTCCTTTAGTACTTGCAGTATACTGTCTGCTGTACATTTTGCAGCTTCTCCCAACTGAATTTGAATATTTGTTACTAGACATTAGATGAATTTCTTATCCTGAAGGATTGGTTATCATCTATAATTGGGTTTGAAATGAAGAGATTCTTGCCAAATAATTCAACTGCCAGGCACCCTTCTAAATTATCCAGCAGCAGAAGCTGGGTGTTTCCCAACCCTGGGTCTCCAGGTGTTTTTGGACTACAACTCCCATCATCCCTAGCTAGCAAGACCAGTGGTCAGGGATGATGGGAACTGTAGTTCAAAAACACCTAGAGACCCAAGGTTGGGAAACACAGATCTTACTGAAGCATGCATATAAGGGAAGCAGTGGCTCGTACTAAATCTCCATTATATGTAGGGATTGGCCCATTTTACTGTTCACAACTTTGCCTAAATTAGGGGTGGCTAATAGAATGCTGTAGAATCTTTTCCATCAGTCCATTTTGTGAATTCATCACTGGCATTCGTTGTGGTTTCCAATTTCTTTGAAGGGTTCCGTTACATAGAAAGCTTGGAAATTTGGAGAGCTTTGGCACAATGCAAAAGATGAAGATATTCTGTGTCTGCTGTGTAACTGTGTATCTCCTTCCTCCTAATAGTAGGTGTTTTAAACTAGATACCAATTATTTCAAGCAAACCAAAATGGTTTCCTAAAATCTACATTGAAAAATTAAAGCTAGTTGTGTTGGTCCATGAGAATAGATTCCAAAATCTAGAGTTAGACAGTATATTTATTAGGACAAACCGAAAAGTCACACACGTGTGACAGGCTTTTAACTTGCCATACTCCCTGCTTTGTGTGACATCTAGGCCTGATGGAAGAATTCACAGAGAACTTGAAAACTTTCAATACTGTTGTGACATTTCCCAACTGTGGATCTTTTGACACTTCCCCCAAGAAGCTAGTGCATCTGTTAAATCTAAATCCATTTTCTGTCAAATGTCAACACTTGCAGATTGTTCATATATACCTTATTTACACTTTCTCGTAGTTAGCACAGGTTGCTATTTAGAAACAAATGCCTTAAATAGTATAAACTGCACTGAAATCAACACAGAATTGTTGAAAAAATTCTTTTAAGTCAGGGGTTGTCTGGGGCCCACTAGAGGTGGCTGAAAATTGCTGATGCCCACCAGTCACAAAATGGTAGTGCAGTGACACAGCCAGTCTCAACGTAATGGCAGATGGAAGCAGAATGTGGCATAATCAGTTGAGAATTACAGGCACCATTTTGTACTGATATCTAATCCATCAGCTTTTCTCCATTAAGTAAGAAGGGGATAGAGAAAGAGAAGAATCCCAAACCAGTTGGAGGGGTATGGTGATCCCTTGGTCTGTTATACTACTAGAGAAGCCTCAGGAGTGTGATTTAAAGAAGACTGGGAAACTGACATAAAGAACCACCTTGTTTAGGAACCCAAGTATTAGAAGCTAAGTTGTAACACCTATATAAATTAGCTGAAGAAACTGTGTGTTTACCACCTTGTTTAGAAGTCTGTAACATCCACTGAATTTAAGATATACAGTACTGTATAAGTTTAGCTGTTTCTTGATAAAATTCTATCTCCTGGCACACTTTATGTTTTACCAATTTTTTTCTAAAACAAAATCTTTTTCTTGTTTAACTTCCCCAAGTCTCCAAGTGCCAGACTTTAAATAACCATAAATTAGCCTGTAGTTAAGAGCGGGTTTGCTGCAACCACTCTGGGGAAACAGCATGCTGGAACGGATGGACCAATTGCCTGATGCAGCAGAGTTTTTCTTCTGTTTTAGAAATCTTAAAATGAATCTAATAGTGTAATGAACTTCTTTTTTTAGGAAATCAAGCCCCAAGCACATTATACCCATGGATACAGTGAATCTCTTGGGCGCAAAAGTCACATTGATGATTATAGCACATGGGATATCGTCAAAGCTACACAGTAAGTGGGTTTATTTGACAGCTTGTCTATTTTGGCACCATGTGGAAAACAATCCTCTGAAAATGTCTGCATAAAGATTTTGAGGAACGGAACAGCAATTTTGGACTGGTACTTCTTGAAAAGTCTGTGGAGGAAAGAAAGCGTATGCAAATGCACTTCAGTCTTGTTTGTCTGTAGCTTCAGTTTAAGAATCCAATAATGTGAGTGTTAAAATAATTAGAATAAAAGCGTCACAGAGTATATTTTTACCCAGTTACATTTCACCAGTCCTCTGTTCGCCAGCCCTACTACCCTCTTCCTGCCAGCTACTTAACACTGCAAAGACAGCAGCCATTACTACAATATATGCTTTTGCCCTGTTACTCTCCTAATGCTGCAGCTGTTGCTACCAACTGTTAAAGTGTGAAAGTAGGAAGATGGGAGGGTGGGTGTCCAATCCTGGTATCCACTGAAATGTGGACATGTTTAAGGGGCTGTGTTCAGTGTAGGAGAGACTAACCCAGCACAAGTGGAAACAAAGGAAGAGCAAACAGTCACTTGTGCATTGTGGAGTTTTGAGAGGACATTTACTGAGACCTTTTGCAGACATAGGAAGTATTGGCAGACACGCTGGTGCTTGTAGGTGATGCATTGGTGACCCCTGCACTACACCATGGAAACAGTACACCTTGATTGATGTAGCTATTTTTCTGCCTTCTCTCATTTCTCAGATGTGATTATACTTGAATCATATCTCTTCATTCAAGCAGGTACCTATGCAGAGAGCCACCAACAGCAGTTTTAATAATGGAAGTGCCAAGAGAAGAGGAATTTGTATTTAATCTCTTCTATAGTTCCCCCCTCTTCACAGTCTAGTGCTAAGATTTACTTAATAGAATCACGGTCATGCAGAGTGTGCATTGTTCTTCCCATAGCTGTAATACTAGAATAAAGGTGTTTGTCTTACAAATGTGATAACTTGGAGAGCAAAATGAGATAAAATTGAAGATGAATTATCTTCCTTCTGTTCCCAAGATCCAGTTTCAGGTTGTAAGTTAAACTGGATAACAGCTGGAAAAAGATTTCATGCAAATATAAATGGTGATGATAGTGTTTTACATTAAGATATTAGTAAAAGCTGTTTTATACTTAAGAGAAATGTGGAAGTGAGCACCATCTAATGTTTTGCCTAAAAATAGCAATAGTGTTTTAATATCGGAACACTAATTTTCTTCTCTGCTGTCCCTGAACAAGCTAAGATTGTGCATTTAGTTAATAGTAAAGCCCAAAATTAATGGTTTATAGTAGATTGAAGGTTTATGTTACTTTTGCTTTAGTTATGCAAAGTAAACCTCAATTTTGCATTTGTATGTGTAAAAGTAAACCTGAAAACCATTTTGTCTAAACTGTGGAAGTACAGTGGTACCTCGGGTTACAGACGCTTCAGGTTACAGATGCTTCAGGTTACAGACTCTGCTAACCCAGAAATAGTACCTCGGGTTAAGAACTTTGCTTCAGGATGAGATCAGAAATCATGCGGCAGCAGCGGGAGGCACCATTAGCTAAAGTGGTACCTCAGGTTAAGAACAGTTTCAGGTTAAGAACGGACCTCCAGAACGAATTAAGTTCTTAACCCGAGGTACCACTGTAGTATGGAATCTTACAAGACACTGTAATAATAAGTTAGGATACTTAAAGTGTGGTACAGTAAGCCTGCAACTTGCATGCATTTAACTTGTGCACATTCAATGTTATCTGAGCAGGAAAAAAAAGAAAGAAAGAAAGAAAGAAAGAAAGAAAAGAAAGAGGGTGGGGTTTGGGGGAAAATGACTTTGGCAATCCCACCTGCCATTGAATCAAATGGGTTTTGACAATACACAATTTTGGCTTTAGTAATTAATCATGGGTGATATCCAATGTTTGTCCTACTTGGAGTAGAACTATTGAAATCAATGGGCAGGTAAATTTTCACTTATTTCAGTACGTTTACTCCAGGTATGACTTAATTAGATCTTGCTCCATTTGCTTAAGTATTTAGAAACAGTAAAATGCAAGGCTTGCAACAGTATCATAAAATATACATTCTTACTGTGATTAATCTAATATGACCAACAAATTTGGCCTCACCTTGGTTTCAGTACTGAAAATGTATTCAGTTTTTATTGAAATAATTGATTGTGAAGGGCAAGCACAACTTGACATCTGGGACCTTGGAAGTATGTGAAGGGTAGACTGTGAATAAACTACAGCTCGCATCAAGGAACATCTGAGGAAGGAAAATAAAGTAACTGAGCTCCATGGTGACACACTGGTATTTTTGATAGATTGTGTCCTATGTTTTTAAAATCACAGACACAGTATATATAAAATAAGATATTAGGATTCAAATCTGCTTTGTCTTTATTAGTCAAAAATATCTGATTAGCATAACGGAATCTTTTGTCTAGGTATGGAATTTATGAACGTTGTCGAGAGTTGGTGGAAGCGGGCTACGATGTACGGCAACCAGATAAAGAAAATGTTACACTTCTTCACTGGGCTGCAATCAACAATAGATTAGATTTAGTGAAGTAAGTAGTACTCTGCTACCAAAATGAATTCATCATTAGAAGCATACATCAATAAAACCCTGCTATATTAGAATAAATGAGTGCATTAAAGCAAAGTAATTTAAATAGCTATGACTTTTTATACTGCATGGTTTTGTGTCACTCCCCAAAGCTTCATTCTACCAACTTCTGCAGGTATAAGACTGTGACCCTTCTTGGCCACATTGGTTCCTTCAAGGTTGCATTACTACAATGCACTTTTATGTGGAGCTTGCCTTGTGGCTGATCTGGAAACTGCAGTTAGTGCAGAACTCTGCATCGTGATTACTGATGGGAGTGAGATTCTGTCAACATATTATACATGTGCTCAAAGATTTGCACTGGCTGCCAGTTTTTTTCTGGTCCAAATTCAAGGTTTTACTAATTGTATGTAAAGGCCATAACAACTTAGGGCCAGTTTACTTCAAGAATCACATTGCCTACACATGCCTAGTTGACTGCTTATATCTGTAGAACTTGCACTTTTACAAGTGCCACATAGTATTTGTTCTGCATTTGCAAGGAGTCGCTGTTTTAGTGTAGCAGTACATGTCCTTTGCAACTCCTTACCTATTGATTTTATCTGTGTGGTAATGATAATTATTTCATGTATATTGTTTTTAAATAGTTTTGAAGGTGTTGGGTGTGTTTTAACTACAATTTTATGATGCATACTGCTCTAATTAATAGCTTATAAATATTTCTAAATAAATAAATATAGATGATACCAAAAATGAAGTCAACATTACTTATGGCTTTTGGTTGTCATTTTTTTTAACAGTATATTTCAATTTTCCTGTGCAGTGATGTTCCATAACATGTGTTAACTGATCTGAAAAGGATCTGTTGTTAGGCAGGTCATCAGAGAATCACAGGAACACTGCTTAGTGCGGAGGGGAGGCGGACCATCAACAGACTTCTTATGCAGCCTCCTAGTAGCTATGGATTTCACTAGAACTGTAGATATCAGTTTGCTCATATTGATGAGCTCTATAGAAATGCAACTTCTGAGATTTTATTCATAAGATTATATATATTCTATGAAAAATAACAAAAATCCTCAAGAAAGCAGAATAGGGAGACCATTTATTTAAAAAATAAGATAAATGTAGAAAAACCAACAAATGAAAAACATTGCTTTTAAGGTCCCGAAGAATAGAAAGTATTGTTTTGTCACTGAAAAGATAGATGCACAGGCATCAGGCAAGCATTCTGGGGGGAGAAATTCCATAAATGGTGTGTCACAACTGAAAATATCCTTTCTCCAGTCATCATCCACCTCATCAGTGAGGCGCACTCAAAAGAAAGCATTGCAGATGACCTCAGTGTACAAGGAGGTTGATGTTGGACACTGGTTTTACACTGCCGTAAGACTTCTGAGGATGCGCCTTGAATTGTGATGTTTTAAATTGCAGTGTTTCCTCTCTACAGTGGATATGGACTTGTGTGTGGTGTGATTTTCTTTCCTCAGTCAAAAAGTAATGCTGATAGCATGGATACTCTCCCATGTCAAAACTTTTTTCATGAGTTAATTGCTGTATGTTAAAATAAATGATAATTATAAATATGTTATTTAACCTCTTGTCACTAAAAGTACCTGGTTTCTCCTTAATCTTAAGCCACTGTTATAAAGGAGAACATAATTACTGGGCAAGCTGTGAAATTATATTCATTTCCATAGTTGCTCTTAAGATGTGTTACACCTCTTTATAACCATGTCTTTAATTACTATCTTACATTACTACATTTGCACCTGTTTTATGACTGCAGGTACTACATATCAAAAGGTGCTATTGTTGACCAGCTAGGAGGGGACCTGAACTCCACACCACTTCACTGGGCAACAAGGTGGGGAAGATTTCAGCGTTTTTCTCTTCAGTTTTGTCAGAGGAAATTTGTTGATAATTATTAATCACTGCATCTCAGAGAGGACATTGAAGAGCTGGAAAAGATGCAGCCAATGCAGCCAAAATGATCAAGGGGCTGGAGAAATGTCCTCATGTAGAAAGGTTACAAGTTTGAGGTTTCTTAGTTGGGGGGGGGAGATAAGGGGTAGGGGCAGGCATGATATGTGCAAATAAAATTATGCAGGGTGTGGAGAAAATGAATATGAAGATGTTTTTCTGTTCTGTCATCATGCTAGAATCTGGGTCATCCAGTGATGTTGTATGGTAGGTGAGCCAGGGCAGACAAAAAGAAGTACTTCTTGACAGTGCATAGTTAAACTAAGGCTTTTATTACCAAAAGATGCAGTAATGGCCACCAACTTGGGTAGCTTTAAAAGTGGATTAAGTGAATTAATGGAGGATAAGGCTGTCAATTCCTAATATTAATGATGATTATATATTGCCTTCAGGATTGGAGGCAGCATGCTGCTGATTATGAGTTGCTGGGGAACAACAGTGACAGAAAGGCACTTTCACTCATGTCCTTCTCTTGATTTTATTTATAGATAGTCTGTTTATAGATAGTATGAATATATTTGTATACTGCTATTCAAAACAAAATATTTAAAATGAGCACAGACAATAAAAACCACGTAGAAGTTTTAAAAACAGATTGGTTTAGTTACAGAAAGATAGAACTTCCAGGTGCTTGGCTGTCCAAATTGTTAATGACTAGAAATATCCCAAATAAAATTCTTATCTTCTGTGTGGTTTTGACAACAGGACAAGTTGACTAAGTATATTTAAAGTAGCTTATTCTTGAGCAGTTAAAAAAATTGGGGTGGGAGGATGTTTTTGAGTTCTTGGAACAAAACCCCAAAGTAGAGTGCTATCCACGCAGGATTGTGTGACTGAATAAACAGCTGGCACAGATGTGCTCCAAACACAGCTATTGCATTGGGTGGCTTATTCAGGTCACATCCTCACCATACATTTAAAGCACTCTTATACCACTTTGGCAGTCATGGCTTGCCCTGCCACAAAACTCCTGGGAGCTGTAGTTTGTTATGAGTGCTGAGAGTTGTTTGGAGGCACCTCCCAGGGCTACAATTCCCAGCATCCGCAACAAACTGCAGTTCTCAGGATTCTTAGAATGAAGTCATGACTGTTAAAGTGGTATAAAATTGCTTTTAATTTATGGTGTCGAAATGACCTCGCTCTTACGGGTTTGCACTATTTTTTTCCATTGCATCTTCTTTCTACTTGTGGAACCCTGTTGTCTTACTTAACTTAGGACAAAGTGTCTAGTGGATAGATGACCCTGCCAGATATCAGGGGATCAGATACACGTTTGCTTCCTTCTATCTGTGCATTTATTTGTACCAAAATAAAAATAAACCTGTGTTGCTTAACTAGGATTCAAAATACATTGCAAACCCTGTTTTTGAGTTCTTGATTTGTTGAACCTTAATGTTTGTCAATGTAAAGTTCTTAATGTGGTTTACTACAGTCTAAAGCTTTTTCAATCTTATATTCTTATTATTTCAGACAGGGTCATTTATCAATGGTTGTACAGCTAATGAAATACGGTGCAGATCCATCATTAATTGATGGGGAAGGATGTAGTTGTATTCACTTGGCAGCTCAGTTTGGACATACCTCGATAGTTGCTTACTTAATAGCCAAGGGGCAGGTATGTATGTACTTAACTTTCTGTAGTTTTTAGTGGTGGTAGAATCTAAAGACCCAGTCTTCCTGGGTTTTTAAAACACATCCTTATATATCACAAAATGAGGTTGTTCTCCAGATTAATAAGCTACTATTAGAGCTGTAATTCTTTGCACACTTACCTCACAGCAAATCCTGTTTAACTCAGTAAAAGTTGTTTCTGAAATAATCATGCTTAGGATTGCACCATCAATTTTGCATTGTTTGAATAAAAACCCTTGATCAGTTGTACCATACCTAAGCAGTAGGACCTCCACATTTTACTCCATGTTTCTCTCTGAGCTCTTCATTATTCAAGGATCACATACAGTAGCACCTTGGCTTACATTACCCTTGGGTAATGTAAACTTTGGGTTGTGAAAGTGGCAAACCTGGAAGTGTTTCGCCGCGCGTGCATGCTTAGAAGTGCTCTACAGCGCTGCGCGCATGGGCAGAAGCAGTCCCTCCAGTTGAGGAAACCTCGGGATCTGACTGGAGCTCCGGAATGGATCCTGTCCGCATTATTACAGAAATTAATTAGGTGGAGATAATTTTTTTTACATTTTTTGGCCAAGACATTCTACTGTTAAACACTAATTTGTTCTCCTTTTCATTGATGATGATGAAGAATAAGATAACAACCAGTTATAAGGTCAGTAAGTTTTTTAAGCGTTGCACTTGTATTAAAAGATAAATCAGTCCCTGCCTGAAAGTGCACAGTCTTAAAAATAAAAAGGAATGGGAAGGAAAATAGAGTATGTCTAGGTAAAATTTCAATGTGTAATCCAAAAAAAATAATTAATATTAAGGATGTTCCATTCTTAAGGTACATTGTTCATGTAAGTCTCTGGTTTACCTAGATCTAAAGGGTAGGTATGTGTGGGTAGGTAGCTATAATTCAATGTATTTTCTCCTCAGAAGTGTTAATGATATTGTATCCGATGTTAGTTAACATGGCTTATTCCAAGTGCAACTTGGTTGGATGCAATCCATTGGGTTGCGCCTGACCAAGTTATACTCTGAATAAACCCATTGACATTAATGGGCTTTAGTGGGTCTATTCTGATTGTCAGTTTTGAGTACAACATGGTCAGATACAGACCGTGATGCATCACAATTTTTTTCCTGCTGCTGATTGCTGTACATTTTTCTTACATTTGTATTCTAGATAGTGCATCTGCTTAATAAAATGTATGTATGAAATATAAGGTCTGTGCAGATGCAGCACCATGGTCTAGCAGTCAGAGTTGAGGTCTAGCAGAATCAACAAGGATACTCCCCCAGTTCAATTCCCTGTTGTAAGTCATCCATCAAGGTGACCAAAGCTGTCTGTTTCCCATAACCAGGCCTGAAACCATATTGAAATGGATCTATATAATCCATCTCATCAAGAAACCCATGGAGCTGAGATACCACCACACATTCCAGTACCTTGCCCATACAGTAAATGGGATATTGGAAACTTGCCAATAATTATCCAATATGGTGTGATTCAGGGAGGGCTTTTTCAATTCGTATAGGTCTTATAAATGCTGAGACCCTGCCTTGTTTTAAGCAAGGCATTGATCACTCCCTTTATCCACTCAACCCATGACCCACTGGCCCTTTAATGAGCCAGGAAGGGCAGGGATCTGGCACAGATGTGGTAAGTCTCAGATTTCCAAAGATCCTTTCCATGCCCTTGAGCTGCACAAGTTGAAAAGCATTCATTATCATGGGACAAGCAGGGCTCAAAGTTACATCTAATGGACCTGTATCAAATCTTCATGGTTTTCGAGTTTGTCCCTGCATATGCAGATTATTTCTGAGCATCTGTGACACTTAAAAGGATTGAACTGTAGATTAACTTTAACCAATATGATATTGTTAAACACGAGGAATTTCAGATTATTGTTCACGTCCAAAGATTCCTTTAGTCAAACTGCCAAAGTCTTGTACCTATAGAGTGGAATATTCTTGATTCTTAACTTTCTTACATTGCACAAAATGTATGATGTACAACAAGGTTCCCTCCTCTTTGAAAGCTGTTTGAAACATGGCATGGAAGCCATGTTCAAGAAACAGAAGTGGGTCCCCAGAACCAGTCGAACATTTCTTTGGATCCTGCCCAGTGTGATTATTTCATTCTTCCTACTTCATTGTTAATTCTGATTGGAAGATGTACATATTATTATTTGGGTAGTTCATTTGCAAAAATGGCAGAGTTGTAACAGCAGATGGTGCTGTAGCATATATTATGATGTTTGATCTCTTATATTACATGCATACAATGTGGTTTATTATGCATTTTGCAGTGTGTGAAAAACTCACTATTTAAAATATTTGCTTATTTACATCACTGTACCATTTAACACCATTTAACAGAGATGGGAAACATGTGGTCCTCCAGATGTTCCTGGACTACAGTTCACTTCATCTGGGGCCATTGGCTATTGTGACTGGGGCTTATGTAAGTTGGGAGTCCTATAACATCCAAAGGACCACAGGTTCCTACCCCTGGTTTATAATGATTTATTGACCCCTTCCAGACTAGACACCTGGAAGTTTGTCCTTGATATTTTTTCTTCAACTTCAATAAATGTGCATGTCTGATTACTGTTGCTCTTTTCATCAGGATGTAGATATGATGGATCAAAATGGAATGACTCCTTTGATGTGGGCAGCTTATAGAACACACAGGTAATTTGCTCATTCAAAACTAGACCAATCTGAAGCTTTTTGTACTAATCAAATAGAATAATGAACTATACAAAATGTGTAATATATTTTTACCTTAGAGTTGATTAATCTTTTTTTGTTATTTTAGTAAAGGGAGCTTTATTTCTAAGAATTCATGAGCAGGAAAACTGATTCAGCATTACAGGAATGTCACATTGGGACCAACATTCCTAGCATGTTTTGTTGACATATGTTGAAAATATTTGTCTTTGTGGCATTTACACAAAGTGGATTTGTTACACACTTTCCTTCCAGTTATCATCTTCAGAGACAGACACAAGGTATTTTCTAGGGTCAGCGCACCTCCCCCATTTTCAAAATTCTGTCCCAACTTTAGGTTATTATGGAGAAGAAGAGTCAAAATCTTTGGACTACATCCAACATTAAACGTACTCACAATAAGCCCTTTTGAAATGAATGGACATAATCAGTTCTATTTTTCTAGAAAAAGAGGTACCGTAATTCACCATGAACACCTCCCTTGTTCTCTTACAATGGCAATGGCACCCACCTGAAAGGTGCTGTAACTGTGTTCTGGTGAGCTCTGGCTGAAAAAAAGTCTTGAACATGACTAACCTAACCCTGCTAATTTCAGTAGTCTACTCTGAGCAGAAGCTGGCTATTTTTTGTGTGTTTTCTGAGTAGTCAAATATTCTTCTGATTGAACTGTCACCAGTATTGTCTGTGTTAAGAAAAATAAAACTTTTGAAAAGGGGCTAAATAGTAATACTGTTTTCGAAAGAAGGCACATCACATTTTGAAGGCAGGTCCAATTGTATGTCTAAACCAGGTTGGGGGTTTTCAGACTATGGTCTGTGGCTGTGAAGAGCACACAATTTTAATTATATGGAATTCAAATTGTAAGACAATGAAATAAAATACAATATAAGAAATGAAAGAAGTAATACAATACATTTAAGAATCATACGGCATCTAGCACATAGCGGTTTGGGGACCACTGAACTATGTGTTCTCACTCCCTCCCTCTGTTAATATCCTAGATATAAGCTGAAATGTCATTTTTGTGATTTCATGTTGAAATTGACCCCTGGGCATCTGAGATAAGGAGGGGGAAGAATATTAATTCATGCAATGCAGATCAAATATCTAGTCTTGTCTTAAAATTGCTAATGATCTTTTTTTTTTACCGCTTCTGGGAATTGGGGCCCTCTGTATAAAATGCTGCCTCAGAGAGTAAAAAAACCAACCCTAATCATTAGCTCTTATTTTATAGAGTATTTTATAGAGTTCCATGGAAGAAAATCCCCTCCCCCTGCTCATTAGTGCTTTTAATACTGGAGAAAGAAATCTGATTAGTATTGATCAAATAAATTATCTCCAAGGGGATCTGATCCCGGGATTAATTTGAAGATAATGATAAGTCCATGTTTTTATAGATTTAATTTTGCTTTTATTTTGCAGTGTGGACCCCACTCGGTTGCTACTTACTTTTAACGTTTCAGTGAATCTGGGAGACAAATATCATAAGAACACAGCGCTACATTGGGCAGTGCTAGCAGGAAATACCACAGTGATTAGTCTTCTACTAGAAGCTGGAGCAAATGTTGATGCCCAAAACATCAAGGTAAATCTATGTTTGTTCTAACAGAAACCTGCACGTTCGGTTGGTTGGTTCTGAGCCATGTGAAAATCAGGTACTCCTGTTCATACAACTATGGGAGGTTCTCCCACTTGCATCCTGTACATCCATGAACCCTCTTTCCTATTATTCTAAACCCATGCTCACTGCTATGCTTTTCTACCCTCAGTCCCTAACATTTCATGCACACCCTCCCATCCCTCCCACCCACACTCATGGTTTTAGTAATCCACCTTTGTTCTTTGAGCTGCCATGACTTGGATTGGGCTAGTTTAACTCCCTTATCTCCTTGAGCCGTTTCCCACTTAGCTTCCTGCCACCCCAGTTGTATCCAACAATGGTTATTCTCAGAATAAACCAAGTTAAATTAATGACTAACCTAAATCCAGTTGGATACAACCCAGGGTTTATTACATTGCTTTCCTACAAAGCAATTTTCACTTAAAATTTTCTACTGTCAATATGTTTTTGTTTACTTCTAGATCTCCCTAAATACAGCTCCTCTAGTCTGGAACATTTGTGTTTTCTCTTCAGTTAATGGCAAGCAGCAGTATGCCATGGTACCTTTCTGCAGACATACTTCTTCATATGAAGCAATGGGATACCAATAAAAAGAAACAACATATAAAAACATGTAACCACATACATAAATAAAGTACCATATTAATATGTTATAGATAAAACTCAGGAAGCTTTCTCCATCTTGGCAGATAAGAGTTGAAGGGAGAATATTTAGTTTTTGAAATGTTTGGAAGAGAGAATAAACAAAAGTGGTCAGATACTTGAACTGAAAGGTCCTATTCATAATATTAGTAAAATGCTGCAGGCTAATAATTTGAAGCAGGTATCTCTTGGAAGCCACCAGCAGGCCACTTTCACTTGATTGCACCAGGAAGCTAAATAATCCCTCCCTTTCACTCAGTACAGTAGAAGAAATTATGTATCTTTGTGCCTTTTGTTGACTCTGTATTGGGGATTAAAAGCTCTCTCTCTCTCTTTGTTTTCAAGTATTGTGCAAAATCGTAGGTATTCTGCCATATTTTGCCAGTCCATGCTGTTTTGTTCCTTTTACCTGTTGTTTTTCTCTTTTCCTTATCCTTAATAGACCCAGAGTAGAGTAAACATATGTCTGTGTTGTCTCTACACCCTAATCTGTGTACGATGGACAATACACATTGGTTCTGCTACACTGCCTGTTGGTAAAAATATTGATCGGTTGATGCAAAATATTGCCACCTATTAAGAATATACAGCTATTGTAATCTAAATGCATGTAGGACAGCAGGTAGGCTTGCCATATTTCAAAAAGTAAAATTCCTGACACTTTCAAAGGAAAAAAACCAGGGGTAAGGGTCACTGGCACGGCCTCCCCCCCAACCCCCCCCCCAAAAAAACCAACACACATCCCCCAGCATCTCCAAGAGCTGATACTTCTTCTAGCAGGGAAAGAAAGGGAGATTCTTTGTTGAGAGTCCCCCCCCCCCCGTCTCCCCGCTTTGGGAGAGTGGGACTGAGGAGATAAGTTCCTTTGGACCTTCTCCAGAGCAAGTAGCCACAGGTGCCCTGTTCCCTTTTAGACAGACTCCTCGCCTCCTGCTCTGCATCCTGAAAAGGGGAGTGATTGTCTTCCTTGAGGCAGCAGCCATGGCAGCTTCGAGATGGTAACGCAGGAACTCTTGAGGGAGGAAGGTGGGGGCAGGATAAACTGAGTCATCTTTATTTTCCTCTCCCAACGGTTGGTGGGTGCTGGGGGCTGCTCTTGCCCTCTTTCCACTGTCCTCCGGGCTCCCCTCCTCCTCCTCAGTTGGGGCTGCTGTGTGTGGGGAGGCTGGGGGCACGAGCGTGCTTTTGGTCTCCCACATAAGAGGGGACATTCCTTCTACTACTCGGGGGCGGGGACGACGACGACAGAAAACAGAAATAAAAAACCGGTTTTCTATACATATGGGAAATTTCAGACATCTCTTAAAATTCAAAAAATTTCCCCGGGATGCCATTTTAGGCGTCCAATTTCCTGGTATGTCATGAATTTTCCAGACATATAGCAGGCCTACCTGTAAGGTACAGGCGAGTACTAGTTGCAGCCAGCAAAATTCAGACTCCTGAGGTGACCTCTTGCTGTAGTTTGCTTTGTGCTCCTTGAAATTGCAAAGCAAGTGTTGCAAGAGTAAAGAATATATACCTTTACTCGTTTTTTCTTCCCTATCCTAATCTTTAGAACTCTTGCACAAAGACTCATCCCATGTTACGTCAAATGGCCCAGGTTGAGGGAAGGAGAAAGGAAGTTACAAAAGTTTGAAAGTGGCCTTATTCCTCGCTCTCCCTCTGGGCCGTATAAAGAAGGCTGGGAAGAGAAGCAAAAAAGACAATGGAGAAGGATTCATCATTGCCTTTCCCTGGCTGAGTTGCCTGCAGAGCTAGTTGCTGATTTACTTTTTTAGGATGTCTAAAAAGTATACCGATCCTACTCTTGATAAAACACTGATGTATGTTAATGCAGAGTTGGATTTATGCAATATGAAAAAAGGTGACTCCTTGAACTGTTAGCTGTTGCAAACTATGTGTTGTGAGCTGCTTTTGACTTCTCAGGGCATTGTGTCTTCAAAAAGAGTAATTCAGTTGAAGTGACACAGTGACCATCTGATTGTATCTCAGGTCTGAATGAACTTTTTACTTCAAATTTCCCTTTATGGTGTGAGCAAACAAATCAGGAAACCTCTAACTAACCATAGCTCCCCGTTTTGTCCAGACTGGGAAAGTGTTGTCAGGATGTTACACCAACTTGAGTGTGTGCTTCCAGAGTCTGCCTGATTCAGAGCAGGGTCTGAGGCTGAACCCACTTTACTGTTAAAGGAAAATTTAAAAAATGATGGTACCTTTCTCCCCCCCCCCTTTTTGACAAAACTGGATGTAAAATTTGCAGATGTTGTAGCCTATTCAGAGTTGATAAAGCCTGCAAATACAGGCAAATAGGTCCAGGAGATTTAGTGCTGTGCTCCTTTAAATTATATTTATAGATAATCTTCAGTATTATTTTTTTAACAGAATCGGATAAAACTTGTTCATTTCTGAGGGGATGGCTCTTCTTGCTAAGGGTAGCCTTTTGGGAGATGGCTAAAAGAAAAAGATTCCCTCTGTTTGCCCTAATGTTTTGTCAGCAATTGTTATGAAAAGGGGAGGTAAGAGGCCCCCTAGATTTAGAACCTGCCAAATTGTAGACAAGAAGGTTTTTGTACTAGCCGCCTTTAAAGTTGAATTTTTGAGGGTGGGGCGGCTGAAGGGATTCAGTTTTCTCCTAGTGGTTTTATTTATGGGCATCCAGGTAGCAGTGCATACAAAGCGGCAGGAAAAGTGATTTGAGTAGTAGGTTGGCATAGGAATTGGAAGCATTCATCTGGTGGATCCATACTTCCCTACCGCATATCCTGCAGTCATTCTGCCGTGTGTACCTCTTGCCCTTCCTGATTGACTTGTTGGGCTCTGCCTTTTCCCTAATCAAGAGGACTGGTGCTGCCTGTGCAAGTACATTATAAAGTTGCTGGAGATGCAATGCCTTGGAACCTTCCTCCTACTCAGCTGGTTCCTGCAGTGCAGGCAGATGGCATAGTTTGGGTCCACTGCCAGCTCAAAGTAATCCCATCTCTTGTGCTCAGTGTGATGGGCTGGTAGCTTTTCACAGGATGAGTGGTGGTAGTATAGGAGAGAGAATTGCTTGTTGCTGTTCCTTTTCCGCCCCAGTGCCCACCACTGCCATGCTGCTGCCTCTCTTGAGGAAAGGATACTGAAGATCATCATTATTATTAAGAGGATTTGTAGCTCGCTTTTCAGCTAAAAAGGCTTCTAGAGTGACATAGTAAAAGGTAAAGGGACCCCTGACCATTAGGTCCAGTTGCGGCGCTCATTTCACTTTATTGGCCGAGGGAGCCGGTGTACAGCTTCCGGGTCATGTGGCCAGCATGACAAAGCCGCTTCTGGCGAACCACAGCAGTGCACAGAAACGCCATTTACCTTCCCGCCAGAGCGGTACCTATTTATCTACTTGCACTTTGACATGCTTTCGAACTGCTAGGTTGGCAAGAGCAGGGACGGAGCAACAGGAGCTCACCCCGTCGCGGGGATTCGAACCGCTGACCTTCTGAACGGCAAGTCCTAGGCTCTGTGGTTTAACCCACAGCGCCACCCGTGTCCCTTAGAGTGGCATACATGAAATCAATTAAAAGAAGGCTACAGGCTTGCAATCTACAAAAATATGGTGCACAAGGAAAAGGGGAAGGAAGAGGGAGGGAAAGTCAGTCATTAATTCTTAAGCAGTTGTTCTTAAAACGACCAAGCAGCACAGTTCAGGGGTTGGAGGTGATTGATCAAGCTGGTTGTTGGGAGTGATCCGTGCTTCCCATCTATCCCACTGAGACAGTCTGGCTGCTCCCAGGTGACAGGTGAGATATACACTGCATCTGACATCTCCTCTGGGATACCCTGCTCAAGTTCCACACCTTACAAGCTGACCTTGCCAGTATTAGCCAGTGGCACAGCCTACCTCCTGCTTAACAATAAGAGAACTCTTGGTGGTTCTGGTAGTAGGACTGGCCTTGCTCCCAGTGGTAGTTGTGCTGCCAGCTTCTGGTGTGAGGCAACTCATCACTGCTGCTGCAGTGAAGATGTGTTTTTGGGTTTGGTGGTGGGAGAATTCAGTATGGCCAGTGCTGCCGCCATACACCTCTGCCACTGCTGACATAGAGGCAGACATACCATGTAGCTCCACACCAGGTCCAAATACAAAAACTGAGGAGAGCCTGTTATTTAGCAGGGAAGTTGGCAAAATCTGGCAGTCATTAAGGTTGTATCAGCCCCATCTCCCAACTTCCCAAAGGTGGTAACACCTTTCTTGGCTGTGTGCCACTTATCTGATTGGCTGTTTAAAGCCATCTGTCAATCAAATCTTACTTGGGTTGAGAACCCTAAAAACTGGAATGTTACCAACATTCTGTCATCCATCACCCTCCCCTCTGACCACCCAAGATGCTGCATTATTTATGATGAAGTCCCTAGCTTTGTGACTATACAGATCATAGACTTAGCCTGTTTTTCTAAAAGGTTTTCCTTATTTGCTAAAAGCACCATTCTCCCTTTCCCCTTTGTTCTCGTACCACCATCCTTAATAAACTTCTTAAAATTGACTGTTAGGTTTCTTGTGTGTGTTTCACACTACATGTGGTTATCAGAGGGATTTGACAGAGAAAAGCAAACTTCCCCAGGCTGCGGTGAGAAATGAGTGAAAAGTTGGATGTTCTCTTTGCCTTTTAAGCTGTCAGGAATGTCATTTCTATTTGATTGGGTTGAAATCAAATAGCTGTTTTTAGTTTTAGCATGGAGTTTCTAGGCATATGGCTGGGTACCTTGGCCAGTGTATAATAGAAGTATGTAATGAAATAGTCAAGTGAGTAGCAGGGTACTTTGGCAAGCTTCTTCCCTGTAGGTTATCTCAGTTTTTTCATGAGTATCATCTTGGCTTTCTGCCTGTCCCAGGGCCTCGGGGTGGGTTTAAGTATTTTCTCTCTCTTTTCCCCTCTCTAAATTGTAAGAGATACAAACATGTTGCTGGTTGTTTGTAACAAGAGGAAGCCTGTAGAATCTTAAGCCCTGCAACAGGGTGGCAGATCATACCCCTCAAATTGTGGTATACCCTTTGAGGGGAGTAATAACATTTTTTGTAAACTGTTGCTTTATTTCTGGCTGTGCCTTCTGACACTCAGCTGAAATTGTAGGGATAAAGTTACTGTCATTCTTTAGCCTTTTAAGGGGTTTTTCCCCCCTTGATCCTTGAAAGGCGTGATAAGTCTTATAATAAATTATGCCCTTAACTTGCAGAATTCTTTGTTTTTACTGGAACATCTCCTCTGAGACACTTTTAAACCTAACACTTAAAAATAAAAATAAAAGCCTGCCTTTTTGATTAGATAGCAAGTACATCCTGACTTCAGTAACATAAATTTCTTTTTGAACAGGCAGTATTGTGCCTTTGTTAGACATCAGGGCACCGAAGTGAGCAAAAGCATGCTACCTCTTTTTTTTTCTTTCTTTTTTTTTAACTAATATGAGAGGTATCTTGGTGTGATCTAATTTAGGGCCTGAGTATGGATATAATTTTATTTCCTTTTATCTTGGATATTGTGATTATTGGGGGGGGGGCAGGAAAAATAATGCATACTAATAGTGAATGTGCTACAGGAGTGGCTTTAAAGAACTTGCTAGGTAAAAATACAAATCTACACTAGAAGCTTATGTTAGGAAGCTTTTTGGTGATTCAGATCTCATTTGCTATGATATAGAACATGGTACATATTCGTAATTAACATATAGTGGTCTTTTCCTGCCATATATTTGAAAGAAAAGCATACATATCTACTTTTAACTTTGGTTTTGCAACTCTAGTTATTCCTCTAAAAGTAACCTGTAATTCTACTTTTAAGAGTCACCTATTGTATCTATTCCCACAGCTGACAATAAGGCTTCTGTCAGCAGAACTGGGAGGGAGGGAATTTTCGGCAGTCCTCCATTCCCTGCCCCTCTCTCCCCATCTGCTCTGGAGGGTTCCCCATTCATGGCTTCATATTATTGAGAGAAGCCTCAAATTTGGTTAGTTGATTTGTATGGTCTCTCTCTCTTACCTATATCTCTCTAGCTATCATCTCTATCATCTATCTATCTATATCTATCTACCTACCTAAAGGGTGAGTCCTTTAAAAGAGGCCCTGTGGATACAGAGTACACATGTTCCACTGGGCCTCTTTTAAAAGACTCACCCTGTATCATTGATAATTGTTTCCAAAGCTGTGCAAATGTAGGAAATGAGTGGATGTACTGACTGGCAGGGCATTGGTGCTTTTGAGCTCATTTCTTTTGCTTCTGCTGGGGAAAGTCCTGTTTGGTAAATTGTGGCCTAAGCTTTTTCAATACACTGTTCAGGTGGAAGCAAACTCTTCCTTTGGAGACCAATAAATATTGTTGCCTGGTTTTTGCTGCTTTCAAATTCCCCAGTGATCATCATTGGGCTAAATTTCCAAGTCACCCATAAGGTTTTGGTGCACAAATCCTATCAATAGAAATTAAATGCCTAACTCTGATTAGGTGTCTAGTCTCTACTGATGCTGGAATTCAAACGTGTACTCCTTGGCATTTTGTACTCTTGTCTCAAAGGCTATTTGCCTTTCCTTGGGTGATTTTTCAGTTTCTGGTACCTGTCTCATTTTTTTTTAGGCGGGGGCCGAACGATGGAGGATTCAGCCATTTTTCAAGCCTCCATGAATGCTTTGTTTAGGAGGGGAGTTACCTTCAGTAGAAGAGTGGAGGAGTGCAAAACTGGAGCTGGAGGTACCTTCAGTTGGTTGTTTTTTGCCTCCTCTATACTACAAGAACAGTCACAACCTTTTCTTTCTTTCTTGAGGTGTAAATCAGCAGTACGGTTCTGTAAGAAATCACTGTGATAGATTTAGGGTACAACCCCATATATTGTGAGGCAGTTTTCAGTTTGGGTTTTTCTTTTGCTTTTTAGATGGGGAGGATTTCTACAATAGAGTGATCTAAAGGAATCACCTTTCTCTGAACTAATGCAGTTGGAGTATAACATCACATATCTTTGTCCTTTGACATTGTTATTTTACGCAAAGTGGGTGGGGCTTGCTCAGGGAAGCGACCACAAATCGTTAGCAGTGCATGCACTTGGAGGGGGAGAGGAAGAATGGAGAATCACATTTGCCTAAAATCGCTGTAGATAGGTACCTATTATAGGACATTTTGTTCAACCTTCTGAATTGGGGAAGAGATTATAAAAATTAGTCATTGCTTAGCTAGTAAAGGTACTTCTGAATGCTCGGTGAATAGTACAAGCTGCCAATCAGGTATCCGCAATCAATACATTAAAAGGTAAAGGTACCCCTGCCCGTACGGGCCAGTCTTGCCAGACTCTAGGGTTGTGCGCTCATCTTGTCACGCTGATTAGTCACGCTAATCCTGATTAGCTCTGGGTCCCCATGAAAGGCTTCTAACAACCACATGCTTTAGGGCTTACATACGTAGAATCCTACAAATATGTAATCTGTACACAGTAAAAGATATATAGAACATTCTGGTAGAACCTAGGTGTGTGTGACTCTACCCATCAAAGTGTTAAATCCAAAATGTGAAAATCTCGTAGGAGTAGGGTAAGCAAGTATAGTTTTGATTTTTCACTGCATGTAAGTGCATCAGAACAACAATCGAATACACACCTACACATGCAGTCCACAAGAGGTACAGATTGAACATCTGTACCAACTGAATGTACATGGCATTGATGACTAAGCAATAAGCATTGTTCACTGTTTGTGAAATTCCATGAATGGATATTGCTGCTTGTTAATATTTGAGAGAGAACCAGTTGTTCCAAACTAGAGAGCTAAGCAACTTTTAAACTCCCATTAATTATTACATGTGCACACTAAGGATAATGAATGAACTCATTGTCAATACACAGAAATAGCAAAGATTTTATTTCATTTGATGAAACTGATTAAACTGAGAAAAGGTTGGAAGAAAGTAACTCTCCAGAGCATAAAATAAATTAGCAACCAAAATAATGCTTTTTAAGAACAACAACATAGTAATATTACATGTTTTAAAACTCTTAAGTAGTTTTAAATGCTTAAGTTACTATTTCTAAAAGTGAAATTGTTGTACTTTTTTTCCTTTTAAAAATTGTTAATCTTTCATACTCTTGACAGGGTGAATCACCACTTGATTTAGCAAAGCAAAGAAAAAATGTTTGGATGATAAACCATCTACAGGAGGCAAGGCAGGCAAAGGGATATGACAATCCATCATTTCTCAGAAAGCTGAGGGCTGATAAGGTGAGAAGAATCTTTAAGTGATGACTCATGTAATGTGTTCTTTTAAAAATAATTTCTGACCCTGCTTAGATGACACCCCACTACAGTTTGTACCAGGAGGTATTGGGAGTCTTGGGTTTACGCGTCTTTCTCACCCCCAAATTTGCCATTCTCCTCTCACTGCAGTGAGAAATGATTGACCAATCCTAGGCATCTTGCATTTTTCTGAATCTAGGATCCTTCCTAGTCTTGCAGATAAACCCCTCTTTGTACATATTAAACTTGCTATGAAGTATCTGAGTGTTAAAATGAAGCACTAACTTTTTATACAGTTCATAAATATCCAGGTTAATTAATTGTTGTTTGTCTTTTTATGTAGGAATTTCGTCAGAAGGTGATGCTGGGAACACCTTTCCTAGTTATTTGGCTGGTTGGGTTTATAGCCGACCTTGATATCGATTCTTGGCTCATTAAAGGACTAATGTATGGTGGTGTTTGGGCTATGGTTCAATTTCTTTCCAAGTAAGTATTTAATTAGGGAATATGTTGGAGTAGATAGTTTGGTTTTACATAAAATACTGACAGGTTTATAAAAGCCCCATTCTTGGGGGGAAAAGTTTTACCTAATTCACTTTTCTATTAAATGATTGTTCAGGATAAGTAAAGAAAATTGTGTTTTGATGCCCTTCCGTCTTGCCTTCCAGTTAGTTTATAGGAGACCTACTGTGCTAGATTGAAGTGGCATTCATATTTTAGCTCTGAGCAAAAAGAACCTTAAATACCACATCAGTCACATTATGAATCATCAACTAGTTGTGTTGTATGAAAATGTGTCTGCCTGCCCAACAGTAATGTTTCCTCTTTCACAAACCAAATATTGAAATCCCTCTATAAAATGATTAGCTTATTTTCTATAGAAATGAAAATACCCTACTCTTTTATTTCCATAACGTAATGGTCTGTATAAAGCAGACTTTTTTAAGGAGGATATTTTTGGATTTTTTTTTTAAAGGGATCTTAGTATTCAGTGAGTGGATAAAAAAAGACAAGAATTATTACAGGCAATGCCCAGTTTAGGCATGTTTGAATGACACTTGATTGTGCATATGTGCATAGCTCTGAACCTGGAAGGAGCCCAAAAACATCACAAAAGGGGTGGGGTGGGCTTACACGGGCTCAACTGACAAGCACAGGGTTTCAGAGCAGAAACCCTGTGCAACACAATGATAGCCTGTATATGCCTCTTAATTTTAATGACTCTAATTTTAATGGCAAAGAGAAATGCATTGGTAGTAAGAACATTATTAAACAAAGAAAGTTTGCATGGTTGAGTATCTTAAATTTATTTATTGTCAGTGTAATAGAGCACATGTCAGATAAATATTTTAAACACTGAAATCTCTTGTGTAAGTATAAGCGATTATATTACTACAGCTCATGTTCTGGGTTTGGCTTTTTCTTCAAAGTCTGTTAAAATAACTATCATTTTGAGTTTTGCTGAGTGTGCTGTTCAGCCTTATTTTTAACTGCTGTCAAAATGTGGCTTTAGAAGAAAACTTTATTTCCAAATCTACTTTGACAAAACGCATGCAAGCAGGAGTATGAAACTGTTTTAGGCCTGGTTAGGGGACAGCATATGTAATATGTATGCAAGTAACAATTGGGAAAATTGACCTAAAAAGCAAAAATTACAACCCCCCCCCCCCAAAATCTGTCTGTTCAGGTGGTCACATAATTTAAATTAATAATTTAATGTAGTGGTTAACAACTTTGGTGAACACGCTTACAAAGCAGCCTGGTCATCCTAAACTCTGATCATGCATATGTAAAATCTTCTTCATTTGAACATTACAAACTGAACAGATACATGTTCTGAACCTTGTAATTATGAACTCTTGCAACATTCTGAGGTCTAAAAAAGTGCTTGCTGGTTGTTGAGTAATTTAGATTATTAAGACCTTTTGTAGCAAACGGACAGGTTATTTAAAGCTCTAGTGTTTGTTTCTTTGTTTTTTAAAAAATAAGTCTATATTTACTTGTTTGTGAATGAGCTAGCACACCCATATTTGAATATGTAATAACCTATTATGTTCTTTATTTCACAGATCATTCTTTGATCACTCAATGCATAGTGCACTGCCTCTTGGAATCTACCTAGCAACAAAATTCTGGATGTATGTGACATGGTTTTTCTGGTTTTGGAATGATATCCTTTATATTGTGCTCAGCATTTGAATTTTTTTCATTTTAGTGGGTTATATTCCAGTGCTCACATTCAAGAAAATTAAGAGGCTAGAATTTTAAGAAACGGAAGTTTTAGCAAGAGGATGTGGAAGTTTTATGGTTCAGACAGGTCATGGAAAAGGGTTAAGGGACTTCAGTGAAGCTGAAGCAGGAGACAAGTGAACACGAGAGGGAGTGAAGCATGACAGTAAGTAAAAGAGGAATGGGCCAAATGGAACAAGTAAAAGCAGATAGTAGGACATGGCAGATTGAAGGGGACAGTTTTTACTAATTACATAAGGCAAGGATGGGGAATCTGTTGTTGGATTCCCATTATCCCCAGACAACATGGTTAATTGTGTGTGTGTATACCCATTAGTTAAATTACTCAAAATACTAGCTCACAGGTTTTTTTGATTTGTGGCAAAATAAGTTAAAATAAGATGTTTTTGAACAAGTCCTTAAACCTAGCAATATTTCGTCCTAGTCTTCTACCCTCTTGCTTTCAATCTCTTCATTTTCTTTGGATCTACATAAGTGTTTCCTTCTTGCTCATGTTGACTTTGCTTTCTCAGTAGCTGTGCTGATTGTCATATCCCGATTACTGGCTCCTTCTGAAGTTAATATTTATGAACATTTAATGACATTATAGCAGAGTACAAGTAGATACTACATTTGCGATGTGGGTGCTGCCAGAACGGTCCCCTCTAAATCCTACATGTCAGTTTACTTTAACTGATTAATGTTGCCAGCCTCAATTATTAGTTCTTCTAGCCATTCAAGTTCTGCTGTCAGTCAGCTTGTCTGCAACTTGTTAGAAAAAATATATGACATGTGCTCTGTTTTATAGAATGAAGTAGAAAAATTGTGGTCAGGGTAAGAATTTATTCTCATATGTCTTACAGTTTGATGAAACCAATTGCATCAGAGAACAGTGCCTTCTTTCTTCTCTGTAGGAAGAATAATGTGATATCTGACTAGATGTCTTTGTGGCAGGCTTTTATAAATCTGCTTCTGGAATATGTTTTGATCAGAAATAAAAGGGCATCCAGATTGATTAATTTAAATATCTAGAATTGACTTTTAACTTGTCACTAGAATTATGATGAAAAGTAATATTTTGTATTTACTCACTGCATTCCACTTGGGACTCTTGAGGTCTGTTTAGTTATTTCTGTGCTGTCTAGGATTGCCTTCTAACCTTGCATCGAAACAGGCTTTGATACTGTTTTATAAACCTTACATAAGGGGGAATCTGGTTAGCTTCAATAATAGCCTATAACAGCAGGAAAGACAACCTATAAAAGAGAGAAATTTGTGTTGGATGATACCATGCGATCCCCCTCAGTACTCTTAAATACTTTCCTCACCATTATTAGGATAAAGGATATGTTGTCCTCTATTCCTGTTAAAGCAAGTGCTTTTCAAGATGTCTGCATTTCATGTAGCAACGTCTTCTTAACTTTCCCCACTTATATAAGTTCAGAGGCCCAACCACGGAGGTAGTTCTGTTAGCACATTGTAGAGCACTAAAAGCAGGCAAATGTGACCATACAAGGGTAGGGGGGAACCATCTAATCTCTTCCTTTGGCTTGGACCTATCTCTTGCTTCTTAGTCACAGGAACATACTGTCCAGTTTTGAAAGCATCTCTCTGTCAGAGGTATAATGCCAGACAGACAATTAAGGACATCTAGCTTTTTTGTAGTAGAACATAATACAGTTTTCTCTGCTAGCTTCTTTTTAGTGGTCTAAATGTGTGGTTTAGTAATTGAAATGAATGCTGATACTTATTAAAACATGTGGTCATACCTTGGTTTTCAAACAGCTTAGTTCTCGAACGTTCTGGCTCCCGAATCCGCAAACCTGGAAGTGACAGGACTTCCGCGGCTTCCAGTTGGCCACAGGAGCTTCCTGCAGCCAATCAGAAGCCACACTTTGGTTTCCAAATGTTTTGGAAGTTGAACAGACTTCCAGAACCGATTCCTTTCGATTTCCAAGGTATGACTGTACCGTATTCTTTTGGGAGCTTTAACTGCATGAGACTTAGACTCAAAAGCCCTGTTACAATTTTTCTACACATTTTTCTACACAAAGGTGATGAAGTCCAATTGAAATTTGTGTCTTGGCTAAATGGGCTTAAGTGACCATGATTTTCTTTGCATATCACATTAATCAAGTATGGCTTAATGTGAACATGCAGTGTGCTCTCCCGCCCTCCAACCAGGCTGCTGAGAAACAAGCACATGGTTTGACTTAGTGTTTTTTCTGCAGAGCCGTCTTTCCCATAGGGCTTAGTGATGCGTCGCGCCAGGGCGCCAGCCTCTCGGGGCACCCCAGCAAGTGGGGGAGCTGTGCAGCTTTGCCGGCGGCCTCCACTTTCCCTGCACGCCCGCCAGCTGTGCTCCGCCAACCATATGGCTGGTGGGCGTGCAGCTTCCCTCCCAAGCCTCTGCCGGGATTGCTCTTAGAAACAGACCATGAGTCTGGATCCAGACATAACACTTAGCAGCATGGCAGGAACAAGCAGGGAATGAAGCACCCACAATTTCAGCCGTGTTGCATCAACATGCTGTGAGTTGGCACTAACATTGTTAGGCTCATTGTTTTCTTGTTGATGATCTGCAGCAACACAGTGGTTTTCAGGCTTTCTAACTTCAGGGAACTCTTTCTCACATTGATTTCAGTGCTATGGAACCCCTTTACATACGCTAAGAATATTTTCCAATGTGTCATATTTGTACTTGAAACTGATGGGTTACCATTGAAATTTGCGAAATAGGTTTTAAGTGTTTGTGTTTAGAGCTTGCCATTCCCTTGGCAATGGAGTGTATAAGTGTTAAGGCACTGAAGCAGAAAAGGTGCTACTGGGGCCATTTGTAATTTCATGGTAGAAAATATTTAAATCTGTTAAAATATAATTAGCTTTTACTATGTGCAAATTAATGAGAAGAAAATACAGATACCTAGGTGTTAACAAAATTAACTTCAAATTGTGAAGCAGCCGGAATTCAAATACTGGGGGGGAATCCAAGGGGCTGCAATTTATTCCAACACTTTCATTTCCAGATAAAGTACATGTTCCTTTTTTCAGTAAATTATTAAGAGGGGAAGAGGAGGAGGCATCTTTAACAGGCATGTAATCCATCCCCCCCAAAGAGATTATTATTGTATTCATCATTCCCTGTATAATCTCTTTTATTATAAAGTGGTTTTTTTGTGTGTGATTTAGCTGGAATTTCAGGCCACTAATAGGCATAAACAGTAAAAAATATATTTAAAAATGGTTGACCATTTGAATGATTTCTGTCAGAAAATGATTTAAAGAGATACAAAAGCTGCAATCCTAAACACATTGACTAGGCAATAAGCTCAACTGAATTCAGCAAGACTTTTGAGAGAACATGTATAACGTTGCACTGTTAATTTTGGAGCTATCAAACAAATTGAACAGCATATAATGACAAAAAAGGATTATTAGATGTCTTGACATGCATCTAGCATATTTCCTGTGAAATGCATTAGCAACAAAAAGTGTATTGCAGGATTCTATTCTTATTTTCAGATAATAATTATTTTTAACAGGAAAGAAAACATATTTAAATTCCTTAACATTTAATACATCTAAATTTTGTGTTCATCCACCTTCCATTTCTTGCTAATAGTGTTGCACTTTTCTACAATTTTGGAAAATCTTGGAAATCAGACCCAGGAATAATTAAAGCCACAGAAGAACAAAAGAAAAAGGTAAAAAGCAAAACAGTCCATTCTTGTTAATGGTTGAAGATGCTGTTTAGATTTTCTGTGTACACACTCAAAGCGTTTTCTAATCAAAGCAATTACAGGAAAGTGTCCCCCTCCCAGCCTCCCACAGAGGGGCACAGGGGGCTGCAGAGGAGACAGAGAGTTGCTGAAAATTGTTTCTGTCTCTGTTTCGCCAAGTTCTTCCATTTAAGAGCATCAGAGGTAATTGTAGTCTAAGCAGAATAAATGCTTTGCTACTGGGAAATCTACTGACGTCATCCAGATATTTCTGGTGTTTAAAATGTGTGTGTGTGTGTGTGTGTGTGTGTGTGTGTATGTGTCTGTCTGTGTCTGTGTCTTACACACACACAATCCCTCAAGTATGCATCTTAACTTCCAAGGAGGAGTTGTGGCACCTTGAAGGCTAAGCCCCGACAGATTACTCATCACATGGTGTAATTGTTTTTGGACCAGTTAAAAATGAAGGTGAAGATGTCATCCTTGAAAGGAAACCAGCATGTCCAGAAGAAGATTAGGCTGTAGACTCTCCTTCCTGATATAGTGTTCTGTGTATTGGGAGATTTTAATGTATCCCAGCTATTCTCTTCATGTCACCACAGCAGAACATAGGGTGGTACTAACGGCTTCAAACTGAATGCAAGGGGATACATTTTTTAGGTTGGAAAGGATATGCCTGTTACTGGAGCAGCCCAACAGCCCTAATGCTGGTGCAATCTTGAGAAGCAGCCGGAAACTACTGATCTTGCTGCTGGATAGAGTCCCCTTGTATCTTATAAGCAAGTGGGGCAGAACCAATTACACATGTGTGTTTATGTAGACTCTAATAGTGCCGAATTTCTTTGATGTGAATAAAATGGCATTAAGATCTTTTTGCCCAAGCTTGAGATGGTGTTAAACTAATCGGAGTGTGTTAATAGAAGCTGGGATTTCCAGTGGGGTAGCTTTTGCTGTAAAAACAGCCAAGAATCTCCTGGCACCTTGAAGGCTAACAAATTGTTTTATGACATAAGTTTGTCTACTAAAGTCGACTTATGAAGCATGTATGAATATGGTTCTTAAATGATTAAATATTCTTCTTTTTGCTTTTCTGCAGACAATAGTGGAACTTGCAGAGACAGGAAGTCTGGACCTCAGTATATTCTGCAGTACCTGTTTGGTAGTATGCTTTTTTGCTTACATGTAATTAAATTACCAATTTTAACATCATGTCTGTTTAGAAAATGAGTGTATTCTTTGACCTTGCGATATTCATACAGGGTGTAAGTGGGCCTCTGCCAACTAAAATACTAAGCCAGTATTTGGGCATATGAATGCCACGCTTCCTAGGGATAGGAAAAGGCAAGTCCATAGTGTGGTTGTGATGGATCCAGAAGAAAGCAGGATATCAAAATTCCTTACTGGAGTCCCTGTCCCACCAAGTTAGGACTCTGTATTCCAGTGGGATGTCCTTGACACAAGTTCAGATGGATTTGGGTAGAAGCTTAACTTAAAACACCCACAGGTTTTTATATCAAAATACAGTGGCTCTCTTAAGTCAGTATAGAAATCTGGGCAGAAGACTGTTCCAGACCTTCAAATAGAAAAAGATATGTTCTAGTACACTAGGTGTGCTACGGTATCTGTTGCCACTCCCTGTGGTAAGACTTCCCACTACCAAAGTATTTAGCAGGAGCAATACAAGAGTTCCTAGTAATTCTTAAAGTTATTGTTGTTCCTATGTATCTTAATGACAACCCTGGATTAGAATCCTAAAAATAGGAGAGAGAACAGGACTACTTCAGATTGTGACTAAATCAAACAAGTGCATAGATCTCTGAGTATAGAGTAAAACCATGAAAATACTTCCATTAACAACTTCAGATTAAATTTACAGTGCCATTTTAGATACACACACATCTTATACTGGATATTTTGTAGGAAATTTAGTTGTTCATTTTGTGGTGTGTATAAAGTAAATATCAACATTAGTTATTATCAACTGTCACGTCAGTAAAAGTTTTGCCTTATATAAAACATCTGTAATGAAGTAAGTAGAATGTGCTTTATATAATAATGTTCTCAAAATATACAGGAATTGTGAGATTGTTATGATACATTTATATTCCTATCCAGAATCTAAATTTATGCAACTCTGGACTCTTTAATATAAAACCTTTAAAACTAAATACCATATATCATATTGCATAAATTATTTGATACTATAATGGTATTTAAAAACTTGTTGCTCTGTATGAAAATATTTTAAGAACTTGAGATAGGGTGAAACATAAGTGTTCTCTTACTTTGGGACATTGATAAGATAGTTTTGACTACAGATCTGAGTATTTTGTATTTCAGACAAATTGTTTATTACTTGATAGATACACTTTTTTAAAAATGCAAATGTTAAATGTTGTAGGTGTCATTCTCAAGATAAAATGTCTTTTGTGTGCTAACATTTGTTTTGATGAAATGTTTTCACCGACAGCATCACAGCAGTGTTATGCTCAGTTTTTTCTATATGGAATACAAATTATTTATGCATCCACCCATAAGTAACTGATCTAACTGCAGACGATAAAAATCACCAAAATACTTAATCTTTTGTAAACTCTGCAAGCTTTTCCATCGGTATCGTCATCAGTTTCTTTGATCTCTAATTCAGAGTTTCAGTGTCAGCAGTAAACAGAACGGTGGGAAATTCTGTTTCGCAATGGAATTTCAATTTCAATTTTTGTTTCAATTTAATTGAGATTGGTGACTGCAAATGCTGTAAGACTTGTGTATAGTATATAAGACTTGTCTAGTGCGTGTAGGTGAGAAATACAAAGCTTCCATTTAGAGGAAAGTTAAAGTAAGGGAGGTATGTTTTTGTTAGGTAAAGCTAGAACTACAGGCTCCACACGGTTACATTCTTAAATTCTTGGTATCATGACATGCATGAGTAGTAGAAGCAACAACAATAGCAACATTGTGTTCAAAATTCATATTAAAGATTGATAATATGAAAAGCGTGTTACATTGTATGCATATAAAAATCTGTTGAACAGATACGGAAACCGGTGAGGTCCAAACACTGTGGTGTGTGCAATCGATGTATAGCCAAGTTTGATCATCACTGCCCCTGGGTTGGTAACTGCGTAGGTAAGTACTGATAAGGAATAGCAAATTTCCATCGCGTTTAGCTTTCAATCTCAAATAGTATGTGCATTTAGCATAGCACGGTTTCTTAGCATTCATATATTCACCACTGCTATCAGACCACGAAGATGCCAGACATATTTTATTCTTTAGTTTAGAAGCATAAGCAAGCTCAGCCAGCCTCTTGACCTCCAACGGTCTTCGTCACTGGGAGCTAAAGCAGTATAGCAAATGAATACAGCAGAGAGCAGGGTTGTTGTTTTTCTGTAGGAACGCAGATTTTTCATGTGAATGTTTGGTTGGTGATCTTGAAGCAAGTATGTTACAAATCTTAGTGACTGTGAAGCTAAGACACAGTCTTTAAGCTTTGCATTTGAAGCATTTCCAACTGGATTCATCTCAACAGAATGCCTGAGCATTTTTAGAGAACTGATTTGATATAGTGTTGGTCTTTTTTTTCTTTTACAATTTTATGATGCATTAATAGTTTTATTGTGTACCACTTTCATTTTTTTGAGTTTGTGGTTTATAAATATTCAAATAAATAAATAAATTTCAGGGTAATATTAGTATTTATAAACAAATGAAATAGTTTTATTTTGTAGGAGAAAAGGTTACTGGGCTGAAGGTCAGCTTTATATTGTATATTTGCATATTGCATATTTATGCTCACTTACTCATTTACTTCTTGAATACTTCCCAATTCTTTCCCCAGGGGAGCTTGTGCTTTATTTGCAAAGCATGTGATGAACTGCATTGCAGTGCTGAAATAAGACTCTTCTAGACTCTTCTAGTCTTGTGGCAGGGAAAGCTATGCTTTATATATTATGTGTTACTAGAAGACCCTTTCTGGTCTCTTGTTAAAACAGCATTAAAAACAAATATATTTACTTCCATTCTTTCTTCTCAGGAGCTGGCAACCATCGTTATTTCATGGGCTATCTGTTCTTTTTACTATTCATGATTTGCTGGATGATTTATGGATGTATCTCTTGTGAGTATTGTTTCCTGAACCATTTTCTTAATGCCTAGTTTAAGTCCTACTGTGCCTGCAATGTTCTGTGTGAACGTTGACCTATACCTTGATTGTTGCCTGGTAGGGTTTTTCTTTTCTCATAAAAAATGCTTTTGGAAATGTTCCCCATGCAACATGCCCTGTATTCTGCAGGCTCATGTTCAGGAACATTTTCTAATCCAATGATATCATTTTCTAACCCAATGATACGTATTTTTTAATTCCAGACTGGGGAATCCACTGTCACACTACTTACACAGCAGATGGATTTTGGACATATATTACACAAATAGCCACCTGTTCACCTTGGATGTTCTGGATGTTTTTGAATAGCGTGTTTCACTTCATGTGGGTGGCTGTGCTGCTAATGTGTCAGATGTATCAGGTAGGAGAAAGCCCTTAATATGCAAACAAGCAGGGTTGCATTCAACATGTTGCTCACTGACAGTAAAGCAGTAAGGCCAGTTGAATAGGGACAAGAGAACTTTCCCCACCCTTCCCCTTGCACCCAGCCTCCTAAATCTGCTTCAGACGGATGGGAGATTCTCCAGAGCAGATTTGGGGTTGAGGGAGGGCTGCAGAGGAGATGGGAAATCACTGAAAAGTGCTTACCTCCTCATTCTGCTGACAGAAACCTTCCTGAGAATCCGGGGGTTGATTCCATTGCATATGTGAGGATCTGAATGCATATTGAAGCCCTTGGATGTTTCTCTCTTTAATGCAAAGCATCAAACTTGAAATGCACTTATTTCCCAAGCCTTTGGGTGCTACCAGGTTTGATTGCCAGCACTATGGAACTTGGTTGGGTTTGGTATACAAAAACGTTGAAAAAAATAAGTGGCTCGTTTCAAATCTGTTTTCATGTATCTTTTATCATAAATGATCATGAGTGACAGAAACACACAGGAGAATAGAAAAGACTTGGCGTCAAGTACATATTGGATGCAGCTGTTTTGCTGGCAAGGAATTTGCATCACTGAAACGCAATTGACTGTTTTTACACAGTCAATAAAGACTTTACCCAGGCAAGTTCAGAACATGCAAAGTCTCACTAAAGAAATTGATCCGAGTAGCCATTAGTGTTTGAGGGTGAGGGTTTGCTTAGATAAATGAGGGTCAGCAATTAAGACACAAAAAGAAACTATTGTTAACTGGGACTTCCTGGCATGTTCCCTCACTTGCAGAAATGGAGGAGCTAAGCTCTTTCTTATCTTGGATTATTAAGATGCACTATGATAATCCAAGCACAGCCTATTTTTGTCAGTGTCTCAAAATAATAGGCAAAGTAATATAACATTAACAATATTTTGTCGGGTAGGAATAGGAAAATGTTAACATGACAGAGTCTAATTTTATGGTAAACTTTCTCTTTAGCAGGTCCAAAGTTACTGCTTGACTGTTTTTGAAAATAAATCATTGAACCTGTTAACTCACAGCTATTATTAAGTTCATCATGGTTCAGAGCAACCATCAGTATACATCCAGTGTAACAGAGAGGTTTTTTGTGCATTAACAGCAAACTCCGTTAGCATGCAATACAGAAAAAGTATTCCATTTAGCTATAACTTGTTTCATCTTTGTACTAAGCTGCCAAGGGTGGTCTTGAAGTTACAGCAGAACAGTTCTGGCTTCAAACTCCACTTTCTGCAGGGATTGCCTATGCTATAGATTTCCCTATAGGGGTTTTGATAGTGCATCTTATTCCAGTGGGCTTTACGTCACTACCTGTCAGCTGATAGGTTCTCACTTCAAGGCCATTTGGATTCTCTGCACTATCGAGTTCAACAGGCAGTTTGCTGTGCTGTGGAGTACCCCATGAGAAGCTGCATAGCACAATCTATACCAGCAGGCCTGCTGATCCCAGTAGACAGTTGATTGGTGGTGATAGTAAGTCTCCCTTGCTAATTAGCAGTTGGGAAAGTGCTTAAAGGCTCCCTATTGTATATTGGCAGCTGCATCTCTCCCTACCCCACGCCTGATGTGTATATGATATCAGATGTGGGCAGATGGACATGGTGGAACCACCTTGTGGACCAAATTGGGACCTGTTCCAGGCCTAATAAGAATTAGGGGATGGAAGTTCCCCATGCCTCCTTTAGCGGGTTTATATACTACATCTTCAAAGATTCTGAATACTTCCCCTCCTCCATTTCTCCCAGATCTCTTGTTTAGGTATTACTACAAATGAAAGGATGAATGCAAGACGATATAAGCACTTTAAAGTTACAACAACATCTATCGAAAGCCCATTTAAGTAAGTACATAAAGAAACATGGAAATGTGTTTATACAAACATATGGGTGGTATTCACAAGTGAGGGAAAGCTTAAATAGAGCATGTGAATGGATTCTGTGTAATTGGTTGTTTCCCCCCTTTCCTAAAAGGTAGCCACAGAAATGTGAATCTCTTTCCACATGCTCCCAGGAAAGCAGCTGAGTTAGGGTTGTGATCTTGATTGGGGAAACTGTTTGAAGGGTATCAAAGTATTTTTTGTTGTATAGTTTACCTGCTCTGGGAATTTTATACAAATTGAAATGTGGACTACAACTTCCTTAAACAAATAACTGGAACATGAGCAGAAACACATTTCTCTTTTAGCACCCTCAAATTCAAAACTAAAACTAAAAAGCATACAGTTCATTTTCTCTCTCCCTCATGCATATGCATGCATATGCAAATATTTACCATTTCATATTGTTCACATACTTGGATTCTCTTGGAAGCAATTACGCCATTAGTACTGACATGCACAAAAAATCCTAGCTACCTAGTAACATTCAAAATAAACATTATCATAAATAAAAGATTATTCCTTAGAAAAAAATACTTTAGAGTACACAGACACCTGCTTTCTCTTTCCCTAATTTGGTCCCGTTTTCTCTTCTCTACGACCCCATTAATAATTGACAAAGACTCCTTCATTTTCTTTTTTCCCCAAACCTCTTTGTCCCATTCACCCTGTCTTATTCTTCCTCTTGTGTATCTTTCTTCCTTTGGAATTAAGAGCACCAATAGTATGATCAAACAGCAGCAATTTGATAACATCAAAAAGTAAAAGTCTAATCAGCAGTCTGGTTGCACAGGCTGCAGTTTCTGGACTGTCTTCAAAGGCAGCCCTACATATAAGAGTTTTCCACTAGTTGTCTAATGAGGTTACCAAGGAGGAAGCCACTGAAGCTGGATTATCCATAAGGACTGGGCCATCAGACAAAGCTGTAAAGGCACTCAAGCCATTGAGACCACTTTTGTCTCTGGCGAACCCACAAACCACAGACCTGAACTTTTAGGGCAGAGCTTTCCAAGCCGTGTGTCGCGACACATTAGTGTGTCAGCTGCAGTGTGTAGGTGTGCCATGCAAACACTCCCTACGCTCCTCCTGGGGAAATGGGTTAGTTTAACCTCCAGTTTGCTAATAAAACTGAATTATTGTGCTGCAAAATAATGCATGTCTAAAAAGTGTGTCACCAACATAAAAAGTTTGGAAAGCTGTTTTAGGGGGGACATGACCATATCCAGAGCTGTTGAAAGCAGCATCCAGAGACTTATAGAATATCTGATGAAATAATGATCATACCCTCACTTGTGGGAGTGGCCAAACTGTGCAACCACATTAGAAATGTGAATTGTGTTCCATCAGAACCATGAATTCACTCAGTTCTAGCCAATTTAAATGGGTATTTGTAATTTCTCACATGTGCTATGTAATCAGTCCTTCCCCAAACCCAATACACTAGGTCAGAAGTATTATCCCCATTATAAAGGGGGCAGATAAACTGAAGCCAACAAATCATAGCTTTCCTAAAGCTTCCTATTGAGAGTTTACAACCCTGTGTGGCTTCTTGGTTGATAGCTGACACTTTTCACTCCTCGGTAGCAGTGAATGTTTCTGTAAGTATCAACAAGCACAGTTATATGTATTGGGGGTGGGAGAGTCCTCCTTAATGATGACTAACATTGTTGCACTTGCTGGACTAACATATATTTTTGTAACCGTTTTGTTTGTATTTTTTAGCCATGGATGCATAAGAAACATTATAGACTTCTTTGAATTCAGATGCTGCGGTCTTTTTCGTCCTGTTATTGTGGACTGGACAAGGCAGTATACAATAGAATATGACCAAACAACTGGAAGTGGCTACCAGCTAGTGTAACACCCACCTCCAAACCTGTGAGCATATCGTATCTGAGTGGTGCCTGAAAATTTGTTTCTCTCAAATCCACATCCCTTGAACAGTAGCATGCTATGAATAGAGCTAACAGTGAATCTAATGGTACCTTCTCTACATCAGTTTTATTAACAGATGTAATCAAAGGACAGAATAAACTGCCAATCCTGACAATGAGGAGGAAGATGAGAAAGGGATTTTAACTGTCCTTACCGTGGGAATGATTCACAAAGACATATTCACGCCATTTTCTTTCCTTTTAACTGCTTTCACAATGGAGCATGAGATTGTTAAAATACAAACATACTAAAGTCATGCTGTGCTGAACATGAAATATTTATTTCATAATTTGAACAATTTCATTGGAATTAAAGTCAAATTTTACAAAGCAGACAGACTTTGAGATCAATGTATTATATTTCCTGTAATGGAATTTTTGTACAGATTTGCTATAGTATTATGTGCATTGAAAATGTGCATTCAGTACTCCGAAGAATCATGTGGTCTTATTGGGAATCCACCATAAAGCGTGAAGTTGTTGGAAGCAGGACGCAGAAGGATGTTAGTCACAAAACTGTTACGTAAATGTAATGGCTGTTGGCTGTTAAAGCTGTCTTGTTTCCGATATATTGAATTACTCGTAATAAGCCTTGTGTGAAGATGTATATTCGGGGAGGGTGGGTGAAGTTGCACAAAATTACATCTCTCTTGTCCAGTATAAAGCCCTATTTAGGTGCATGATACGACTTTTGAAAATTAGACCACAAAACAAAATATAGCATAATAATCTGCAAAAACTAAATAAATACGTACAATATATGCAGTCAGTGAAATGCTGGTACCTAAGTAGTAGGTACAGTTCTGCATGATGTAGTCTACAGTCATTGGAGCGTTGGAAGATGTGCGAAGTTATGTAGGTGGAACCAAAGAGTGAAAGGGCCAACTCTCAGTAATAGGGGAGCGGGGAAGGATATGACTGCAGTTAAATTGAATGTGGCTGCTGGAGAAGTAAAAACTGATTAACAAATAACTCTTTTACTTTACATAAAATGATGGAATTCAAGCTAAAGAAAGTTGTAATTCCTTTGTAGCAGATTTAAGTGGGGAAAAAAAACATTACATGGCTTCTTGAAGAATATGGTAATGGCACGTGGGAAAACACCCTTAACTTTTGTTTGTCTCAAAGTTACCAGAACCAGATATATTTGAAAGGTAAGGAGTGGTATGAAGTTGCATTCCAGAAGAGTTTTATGTTGTTGAATGTGATGCACTGATTTTATGTTACAGCATTTTTATATATTCCTTGTGAATTATTCACTGCTTCCTTAACTATTGTTTACAGAGAGACTTGAAAAATCGGTTAAGTTCTCTTTTTAAGTGCTGTAGCAACATAGTGGTTCGAGAATCCTGTGAGGGGGATTTGGGGAGGGGACCTTAATACAGATGATCGAGACCAGTGTAAAGAATGTTTATCTGTATATACATAATTTATCAAATAGTTTTCTCTTTGTGAGTGTGTGTGTGTGCGTGTGTGTGTGTTAGTATATTTAAAAGCTGCTCATTTCATTTTATCCAACCAAAAATGTAGGAAGATATCTAATGGGCTTGTTAGTAATGATCAATATTGCTGTTAATAGGCACTGTACCCTGCAACTTCACTGCATGTTTGATGCTTGGCAAAACTAGCATTTCCTGTAATATGCAGATTACAGGTATTAAAGCAATCTAGTGGTATTCCCGCCCCTTGCCTTAGTAAGAGGAGCAGTGAAACTGTAAATAGTTGATGTTCAGTATTTTCAAGTAGGCATTTTCCCTCTAGCCGTTTCTTTGATCACCAGGTGTGCATAGTTTGCAAGTACCAGATATCAAGATTTACAGAAGTGCAACATTAGTGTACTTGAATGTTTAATACTGGAAAAATTCAACTTTGTCTTTGACACACTATTTTTGAGGGAAAGAGAATGAAGTTGGGTGCAGGGATGGCAAAAGAGGCCTGTGCCATTTTGTCAGATACAACTTAGAACTATAATAAGAATATATTATTCTTACAACACTACTTGTAAACTTTAGTTTCAAGCTGAACATGTTTGAGCAGAGCCATCTATTTCTTATTTTACATTACATGGAGTTGACTCCCTTTTGGAGAAAGCGTAGCTCTGCAGAATCTCATTTGATGTTGAAAGCCCTCCGTAATCTATTTGCTAAATATATTTCATAGCTCCAGAAAAATCTGTGTAATATACATCTATATTTCTTTTGCAAGTTACAGTAATGTGCACCATATGGATTCCTTGTACAAATAATTGTGTCCTTGATAGTGAAAATAAATCTTACTTCAGTTGAGCCAAAATACTTGGGTGTAAATTTTGCTTAACTCTATGCTGCAAAAAGAAAATATAATGGAGTTAGAATTGCCCAGAAGAAGGTTCTACATCTGAGGCAGCTAGAATAATTCTAGTAGTCTGAAATACTGAAGGGTTTTTTTCTGAAATATGGCAGATTGGGTGGGTGGGGAGTATCTATGCAGCATTTTTTTCTACCAAGAACTCTGTTATATATTGCAGCAGACCACACCATTGTAGAGGGCTGCACGAAAGCGATCCAAATATACTAGATAGATGTTCATTGATCTATTCAGAACAAGCAAATGAAAAATTTGTTTCTGCCCTAGATAAGCTATTTTCTTTTTGCAGGTTTTAAGTTTCTCAATGCTCTCCTAAGTTGTTTTAACAGTTAATATGCATAAGAGCATCATTGTTTAAAACTGAGTATTTTTTTAATTTACCTTATTTATAACTGTGCCAAGCATTATTTTACTACTGTCAAAATGTTGATGTATTACATGGTGAACAAAATCTGTAAAATGTTTAATAAAAATAGCACTCCTTACATAAATTAAAATTGTCATTTTTTGTAAGTTATTAATCAAATAAATACTTGTCTCCTAGATGCTAGCATTTGTCTTTACTTCAGCAAGAGTTTCTTGTTCTCCTGCTCAGAACACTCAGGAATTTATTCTTAGGAGATTGGAGTAACCTAATTAGCAGAAAAGGAGCCAAAGAGCCCATTGCTACCTCAGTAAGTAGACTAGCGGAGCATTTTTTTCCAGTATTGGAGTGACACTTTGTAGACATGCATCATTTCACCACACAGTTCTTCGGTTTTCCAGCCTCTGGAGAAGTGCGGGGAGCGTTCATGTGACACACTTAACATGTTGCGAGAAACAGTTTGGGGAGCTCTGATCCACAGGTTATTCTTAAACCAACTTTGTACTTTCCCTTTCCCACCTGCCCCCCAGCCTTTGAGAGCCAAGATCATGCAGGAAGGCTTTAATAGCAATTATGCTCTATAGCGGGGGTGGGCTAGTTGAATCAAGAACTGGTCCAGGCCCGGCCCTGCACTGCACCCACCTGATATCACGGGGAGAAGAGGTGATGCAAAGTTAAAGCCATGTCTCGCCTTTTGCACCCCCAGCCTGAACTGAAAGCTGGGGAGGCAAAAGAATAATTTCTGAGGTGGGTGACAGAGCTGCTTTTTGCTATGAAAGAATAGTAACACTTACTGTGGTGCTTAGATTGGGAACAGCAGATCTCTAGTTTGTCAGGTAGCTGCAGTTTGGCCAAAATGACTGGTTAAGTAGTGAAAATACCTTTAACTGTTGTTATTGCATAAGCATTTCTTGCTCTTATTGTATATGCCCTTGGCCTCGATTTGTTAATTATATGGTGGTAAGAACACAGAGTTAAAGAATAATTAGTACTCTGATTTGGGGATCCTTGTTCAGAATTGTGCTGTGCACACAGATGACGTTGAAAGGAGATATGAAGTCATTTCTTTGGCAGCCTAACCATTTATTGTTGAGACATGCATACTTTGTCCTTGCTTCAAAAATTTCAAAATGACCCACATGTACATAAGCATACCAAGCAAACTTGCGTGATTAACAAAAGCAAAATAGCATCTTGGCTTGAAATAAGATGTCCATTATCCCAGTTCATACTGCAAAAATAGCAAAGCCCATAGTTCATATATACTTAATGTCTAAAATCTTTGTAGTGAAGTCTACTATGGAGTAGGGCTATGGGAACAAGTTACCAAATGAATAAAATCTGACAAAAATTGTTTTTGTCTATAACACAAGAAACTGTTTAACAAGTGAAACCTTAGTTTCCCTACGCTTTCTAGTTACTGTCCTGTCTGCTTCTTCCCCTGTCCCTAGAAATTAGTGCCTTGGTGAACTGCCTCATCCACAATGTTGAAGATACCCTAGTAAGTGGTTAGAAGTACTGGTCCCTTTGCAGAAGTCTGAATCACAAATGACATTTTTGTTACTGTGTATATTCCAAAATGTCATAACCCTGGCCAATTATGGATAGAGTAGCAATAGTTGTAGGGCTAACTCTACAAGCAATTCAGAACATCAGTATTCAAAGAGTAATAACAAGATTTGAGGCTTTCTAGAAGTTACTCCAGACTCTTAATGTTCTCATAACTGCAGTATATATCATAGACTTGGATCTTATAGTAAACTTGAGTTCATAGAGTTCCCCCTGTGCTCCATCCAACCTCTTCCCAAACAGCATGTGCAGCTGAAATGGGAGTAGGGAAGGAGAGAGGAGGGAACTTCCTTGTGAGTCGAGCTATGGTGGTCCTGTCCCCCCCAGTCTCTCTTTAGGATACCATGAATTAGAATAGCCAGAGCAGAGATCTACTGCAGAAGATACCTCAGTTGCATTTTTAGAAGTTGCTGCCTTTCTGACATCAAGGTAACCTCACATATGTTGTCTGTGAAACTACTGAGATGGACAGTTAACATAGTGCTATGATGGCCATTTGCACTAGCCCTGTTCAGGTGTTCATCCCCTATAAAAGGGGCAGAGCAAGGGATGGGTGGTTGTCAGCTTATTGGCCTTAACTCTGCCATTATCCCATCATTCCCTAGAAGGAAACCTGCTATACTTAGTGGAGTAACACCAGGATTCTAAATTATGGACTCCATGAGTAGAGCAGGTTCCTGTTTTAGAAGTTACTTCTCCAGAGTGGAGTAGGCAAGACCAGTGAGCATAATTGGGAAGGTTAATGCCTGAGCAGGGCTACTGCAAATCTACAATGACAGACTTGGCTATAATGGATTAACATGCTTTTTACTCCCAGTCTTCCCATTACCTGATGAAGTGCTTGTTTAGGCAGCAAGCAACTCATACCATGCTTCAAATGTTGCAGGCAAAGCAATATATAGACGCAGATCTGTAGGCAGTAGAAACAGAACAATATTCTCCAGGGGGCCTTTCAACACACTAATCTTCTAAGCAAAAAAGATTTACTGAACCCAATTGACAGTGCATGTAAAAAGTGTGCTTTTAAGGCTTGAGAAAATGCAATACTTTAAGACAAGAAACGGCATAGGATACTAGTTATCAGTTTCACAGTAATTAGTGGCATTTAAGTTGTAACTATAGAACCATTTCAGTGCAATGGCACTAACGAATCATTGAGCGTGAACCAGAGCACCAGCTCCCTGCCCATAGCCAAATCCTTTGGGGCCAAAGTTCTTCGCATAACAACCTGCAAGGATAAATAGTAGACTATCAGTTCAATTCTAGCAGTTGTTTTGGTGAAATAATAAAATCAGGTACTCAAGCAGATTTACAGAACCTTTTTTTAAATGAGTTTCTATTGTTTTCCAGGGCAAAACTATTCCTTATACCTATAGAGCTGTCACTTCTGAAAGAAGGAAACTGCTATACAAATCCTTTTGGCTGGTGTAAAATAGTTGTCCCTAACCATCCACAGCAATGATTTAAGATTACTTCCTTAGCTGAAAACCTGGTACCTTCATTATTCTCCAACTATCACTTAAATTGAGAAAATATTTATCCACTTAAAGAACAGTTGCAGAATAGATTCCTTTGACCTGTTGACCACCCCTTCCTGGAATCAAACCATATGACTCTTCACCGGAACAAGCAATTTTTATGCCCTTTGCCTTAACCTCTTACCTTTGCAATAGATTTCACCGTCCTTCTCTGTCAGAGTTGTTGATTCAAGACTTTTCCCACACTTGGCACAGCGAAAGCAGTTTTTGTGCCAAGGCTAGATAGAAAGAGAGCACATTTATTTTAGGCTTCTGTATTGCACCATTAAAAAAAATCCAAATCTTTATTTTCAAGTAGCCATTACAAAAAAAAAAAAAGTTGTCTTCTTAGAGTTATCTTGCTATTCATATGAGCTTGATCTATTAGTAAAAAGCACTTAAGTACAAATGTTTGAGAAACTGGATTCAGCTGGCCACTGTCTCAAGACTGCAAATCTCTTCCTCCTCAAAGAGATCTACTTGCTCACCTCTTGTAAGAGAGCAAGATACCCCACTCTTAACAAGTCAAGATTTTATCTACAATTAATGAATCTGAAAAATGTCAGTGTTGCTTGGCAAGGTATTTGCAACAATATGCCACCTTACCTTTCCAGCTCCTATTACTTTCTCGGCTGCATACACAGAATCACCACACCTGGAACATTTCTCTGCTCCTCCAAATTTCTGGGCAAACTTTGAAGTATTTGGACTTGTTGTAGGTCGGTGAGAAGGTGCACTAAAATAAAGTAAAGGTGCCCTAGCGTGAATATTATTATTAAATTTGTGTCCTGCCCTTCAATCATAGATCAAAGGACGGTCCACAACATAAAAATACATAATAAAAACAACAGGGGGGAAACCCCACAAACCAATAACCTAGTGCAGATGCATACTAGCCCATAGTTATACTTCTATATGCTGGCTCACTTAACTCTCACAATGCTGTTGTAATGATTTCCCCTCAATTTGCACCTGTAATATGAAAGAGGTTTTTAAAGACAGCCATGTTCGCAAATTATCCCTTAGTTTGAACAATGGCTAGGTTTACAAACATGCACTGCTAAAAGTGTACTTGTTTAAGACTGCCTCACATCAGGATTTTTGCTCTAAAGTTCACTGGAATTTATAAAAACAACTTTTATCGAAAGCCCACATCAATACAGCCTCATTTGTGCCTGAAGTTCTGGCTATGATAAAGACTGCCACAGTATTCCCTGTCTTTAAAATGCAGCCCTTCTACAGATCTGAGTTTCTTTTTGCCTTGTGGCTTGTTTGTCTTTAAAACATATCCCCTGTCATTTAGGGAGGTGCCCTCACCAGCCAAGTATTCTTATCCATTTAGAGGGCCCTGAAAATCCTACTACAATCAATGAGGTTATGGTGGACTGCATCATGGCTTTTCATTTTACAGTGAAGGTGCTCTATAGCCTTGAGAACTATAAATTCATCTGAGGCATAGTATCAAGGCTTTGAAGCCTTCATCTGAACAGAAGGAACTGCTCAGCATCCAACATGTTGAGACTGTTCAAATGAAATACCAAGCCTTGCTCGCAATTACTACCCGCCCCCAATGCTCCTGGCATACTGGAAGCCATAACTGCTGCTGCTGCACAAGCCAATGTGCACTGGTTTTGATTCAAGAGGAAGCAACTGAAGCAGAGTGCATAAAGAGAAGAGGAAGTGCACACAAGCACAATTCTCATTGTGCCCAAACCATGGTTTGGTGTCACATGTGAATTAGGCATTGGTTTGCCCCATCGTATATATTAGGCTGGATATTCATGAAATTCTAAAGTAACATAACATGATTTAAGAGGTGGACCCTTATTTATAAAACACTTACCAATAGAGCCTAGCTGCGTCACTTCCATAATAAACAGCTTTCTGAGAAAACTGAATCACTATTACACACAGAGAACAAACCAGGGTTGACTCAATTTCCAGAGATGTTTGTTCCCTGGACAGCTGCTAATAACAAAGGCTTAGTTATATAATCAGAGTGAACTTTACCATTCCACCATTGCTTAGGGACAATACACAATACAGACATGACAAAAGCATGGCTGCAGGCTGTTTCATGTAGGGTCACACTGCCAGCTGCAGTTACAAGTAGCTGAAGTAGAATGCAAGTTACACTTACTTGTCATGCTTGATGCCCAGCCTCTCCCCTCTGTCCATATTAAGAGTGCCTGCTCCTTGGCCATAGCCATAGCCTTTTGGACCATACTTCTTTCCATAGCATGATTTGCAGTAGACCTCTTCGTCATGGATGGCTACTGTTGTGCTGTCTAAGTTTTTCCGGCAGACCACTGGAAAAGAAAGAAAGAAATAATTTACTTCTTCAAAAAACGGATGCCTATTTATTAACAGAAAGGAACATTAAGTGCCAGGGGGGAAAGTGCCTCTGGTAGTTCTTAAACCTTAGCGGACTACTGGAAAATGAAAAGAGGGGAATGTTTTTGAATTGCTGGATTATATTTTGCTCTGCTGAGGCACTTGTCCCTCCTTCCCATTCTTAATTGTGACATTTACAGAATGGAAGCTTGATGCAGTTTAATTAACAAGGCTGCAAGAGAAGCCAGGAACTGAGGTCAGCAATTTTCCCTCCTGCTTTTTTAAAACCACCAACATGTTTAATTATGCAACAGTTCCCACTTTTACTTTACAAAGTATCCATAACTAGAGGCACTAAAAAAAAAATTAGTGCACCTTATATTGGTACTCCATTTGAGAGACTTACTGGGAATACTGACCCAACTTAAATCCATGTCCTGAAATACCATTAGTAGCCTATTTCTGCTTTTAAAGTTTTAAGTTGCTTGTTCTGTTTCCTGGGAATGAGGCCAGAATTTCTCTGTTAATGAGAAAATATGGGCAGTTCTATATGAGCACTCAGCACAACAGAGTCCACGTGCTCTCCACCATTCACATTCAAGAAGTTTACTTCAGGGCAACATGCTTTAGTTAACACCACTACGACTTCAAAATTCAGTATTATTTTTGCATATCACCAGAAACAGGCAGTTCAGAACTCACCTAGTAAGAAAAATATATATATTGATCCATAAGACTGCAAGAGCTTTTGCATTTAAATGGTCTGTATCAGGACAAAATGTGACATAACAATAGGTGTGCAAATGCATCTCCACTCTATTATTTTTTGCACACTGCAGCCACAGGGGAGTGGCAGTCAAGATCACAGCACAGAGGATTGACACCAGCACTTGCCATTCCTCACACCCAATGAAAATACAGTAGCCAACTTTTAACTGGCATTGCAAAGGTTACGAAAATAGAGATGCATTTCTGCTCACGTCTCGTCTGCCCATCGCTATTCCACATCAAATGTGAGTCAAGCTGCATTGCAGAACTAGATTCTATTGTGTGTGTTTTTGCCTCTTTTTGAAGCAGAGCAGTGCCACACTTTGGGTTTTCACCCCTGTATTCGAATTGTGTAGTGTACAATGTGTTCCATTATTATCTCACAAGACACTGTTGAGTTTCATGAAAAAAGTTGTCAGGAAAAGTCATGCCTTCTGACTAGGAGGGCTCTTGCCTTTAATCCCAGATTTGTAGAGGCCAAATGAGATAACCAATTCCTTCACAGCTGAGTTCTTTATGCATCCTCAGAAACTTATTCCTTCATATTTTCCATGTCCAAGCCTAAACAGGAAGAAGCAATCCTGAACCTAAAGTGCAAATAGTTTGAGCTTATTCTGTTACCTTCCCAGCTTTGCTGCTTAGCTCATTGACTTTCTTGCTACCATGAGGTTTGACAGCTGTTATCAACTGCCCTGCTTTTCCTGAAGTGCAGCTACTGAAAATTCCAGGCCCTGCCTCCCCCACCCAAATTGCTTGTTGCTCTTACTAATTTCATGACATGAGCTTGGGTAAACTACAATCCACATTTAATGTCACAACAATATTGCTCTTCTTTGTGGCAGCTGCATCACAAGGCAGTTATTTGATGCAATCCTTTGCTTTGTATCTAATGAACATGCTTTTTAGTACAAAAATGCAATTCTTCAATAAGCTGTTGGCCTGAAACATAATCGCATAGACTCTGCTCATTTAAGACAATCAACAGCCTCCTGTGCCAAAGCCCAACAGAATTTTGGCTCCACTGTGCTGAAATAGAAAATCAACCAGATCATTCAATTAACTTATTTGGTATGGATGAGGAAGAGAGCCAACTAATGAATTCTCACAAAATGATCTTTAAAATGTAAACTGCTGGAACAACTTACAGTGTGAAACAGGCATTTTTATGGATTAAACTTGGTATTTTGTTAACATGCTTAATCTTAGAATATAAATTCAGCTCAGAGCCAACTGAAATGGTGGCTTTGATTTGAAGTGACCAATGTGTAGCAAAGTGAAAACCTAAACCAGGCATGGGGGACCTGTGACCCTCCAGATGTTCTGAGACTACAACTCCATTGACCATGCTTGCTGAGGCCAATAGAAGTTGCAGCCCCCACACATCTGGAGGACCATAACCTGCCGACCACTGACCTAAGCCTTTCGTTTGCAAAGATGGTGATATAGCTCAGTCTTGAATCCCACTAATTCCAGTCCTTTTAATACTCTCAGTACTAGACAGAGCTGGTCCACTTCTCTTCCAAAGAACAGCTAGAGCAGCTTCTTATTGTTTATGTGCTCAGTTATATGAGACATGCAAGTAGGTCCACTTCCTCTGGTGGTCATGCAGTGTCTGAAAATGCTCTCCTGACAAAGACTACTGCATTCCTCTGCTGAAGATACAGTCCTCTCAAGTCATCCTGGGAAGAAAGGAACTCAAGATTGCTCAAGGCAGCATAGATAGTGCTTGGTATTTTACACTCTTTGTTCCTTGAGGCCATAAGATGTCTGTCTTTGGAGCTGAATAGCAAAAATTATGGTCCTGCTGCTCACGACTTGCACTGCCCATTCACTGTTTCAACTGAAAAGAGTACTTACTACAAAGAAAGCAGCATCTGTGGAAGCTTCTCCCATCACACTGAACTTCTTCTGCATGGTACACTGTTCTGCCACAGGCCCCACACTTGTTGCCACCTCCCCAGTTTGGCATTTTGAGTCTGCAAAAGAGATGCTAGCAATTAGCAACAAGGTAAAGGTTGTGTTTCCACAGCAGGAGCTTTGCTAACATTTGTAGAAAATAACAATAACTTTTCTAGAACAATCTTAATTTTCCCCTCCAACTTCCACTCCCATCAGTTTTTGTTTTAAGTTTTATTAAGGATTTTTGTGTGTGTTACAAAACAAATGAACAGGGAAGGGTACGTCTATTGTCTCAATTTTCAATTCCTAAGAGTCTTTTTCACAATTCGTTTACATTTAGTGAGAGACACTTTTGTCATAGATATCTTGCTGCTGGGGGGAAGGCGGGGGAGAGAGTTGGGAGTTACAGGCTGGAGTAACTGCAGGCTGAGGTAAATTTTCATACATTTCTCAAACAGTAAAGCCTTCATACTAGGTTTAAGGGAACAAATCATTTGTCATGCATAGATTTCTTACAACATCGTAAGAGCATTCCATAGATATTCCGTGTAAGAGAATGATTATAGCAATGTGATGAAAGCAGAGTTGGGAGTATCCACTGGAGTGCAGCAATTGTTCCAGACAACTCCATCATGCTCAGAAAGCAGGGGAGTAACCTCACCCTCATTCACACAACTGGAACCGGAACAGTATGCCCCAGTGCATGTTCTCTCTCACACACCTATTTTCCAATCAGCAGAGGAAGTGAACATGTGCAGCACCATACCCCACTGGAGGGGTGCAAGGGACAATAGCAAATGGCTCATTCTCCTAAATGTCTCTGGTGCAGGCTCCCTAATCCAACATCATTAAACTCTCCACAGCTCCCTCTTCCATAGAAAAGAGAAGGATGCAAGCTGGAACCATGAGCAGATCCTGAAGGCTCAAAAGAAAATATATTTTGGGGTGGAAAGGAGCAAGGAATGTTATTAAACTCTACTGACCAAGGACACAGATTAGTTTTGAGAGAAATGCCTCAAAAACACAAAGCCAGTTTCTATCCTCCAGCGGGGGTTAGCACACAGCAAGAAAGTGTAAAAAGGAAAACAAATATTTTAAAATATTGTAAGCTGCCTGGAGTGGGTATTTGCTTAGAAAGGTGTATCCAAACTTTTAAAATTGGTAAATGGAACATCTCTATGTGGCGAAAAGGTGATCTTTGTTTTCCATTTTAACACGCAGCCCAAGAACAAACAAGGAAAAACTAATAAAAGGTGCTTTAAAAAATCTTTTAATATGCCTGTTGAAACACAGTTTCTGCTTGCTTAGCAGGGACGATGTGGGGCAGAGAAAACATTTGTCTAGTGGGTGAGAGAGACAACTAGAAGAGTCTAAGTCAAGTGAAGTCCACATTGGAAGCAGCAATTGCCCCCAAGATATCCTGGCCTCAAACTATTGATACTCAATGAAACTAAACTCCCTCTGAGCCACTGATAAGGCAATCTTGTTTGCCTGTCTTCCATAGGCCTTATTTTTGGAATGGAAAGTTTTTCAATTTCACCTACAACAGTCGTACCTTGGTTGTCGAACGGAATCTGTTCTGGAAGTCTATTGAACTTCTGAAAACGTTTAACAACTAAGACGCAGCTTCTGACTGGCTGCAGGAGCTTCCTGCACTCAGTTGGAAGCTGTGTAAGCTGCGTTGGACATTCGGGTTCAACGCAAAGAACATTCACAAACCAGTGAACTCACTTCCGGGTTTGCGGCATTCGGAAGCCAAAATGTTCCGAGTTGCAAGGCGTTTGGGATCCAAGGTACGACTGTACTAGATTTTGAAGCTGATTGTGAGGTCTGTTATAATATCATTTTCCCTCTATTACGAATCTTATTTTATTTAATCGTGTTAATGACACCATTGTGTCCTTCACAACTTTAACAACTAACTGGTTAAAATCGCCTTTTCTCAAATTAACCTCTCAGTTAGTAAAGCTTCAAGGGGCACAGAATTCCAGTCACCAGAAAATAATGATACCTATCCACGCATCCTTATCTAACAGCTCTTTTTGCTGAGTCACCCATCAACAAATAGCCCTTTGGACAAACCAGACAACGTAAGACAGAAGTTCACAGATGAAATAGCAACTGCCACCACTTCCGTTGACGCTGATGCTTCAAGAACACATATTGTGTAGCTGAAATACTGGAGCTGCTGCCTTGCAGACAAGGTTGCTCTGACACAGTTCCGTGTGTGTGTGTTGGGTTGGGTCACATTGTGAACCTGGCCCAACTCCTAATGATTTTGGATAAACAGTGAAAAACAACAGCAGCCATCTCCTTTAAGTGTACAAATAAAAGAATCTTTCTATAAATCATTGCTGTTCTATTAGCTTTTTCAGATAGCTTGAACCCAAGTTCAGCTTAGTTGTTATGGAGAGAGTGACCCAGAAAATCTTACAAAGCAGAGCTGCACAGCTAAGTGACCATTGTATAGAGTAAACCATTCTTGGAATGTAGGAAAAGAAGATTAATGATTAATCCAGATCAGGACATTTTAGTGCATTCCCTACCCAGCAATTACAAGTCGTCTTCTGCATGATCCTAGTAGCTCCATTTTAGGTAGCACATCCCTTTAAGAGTCCTCAAGAGTTTAATACTGCTTTTCCAGGATTTGGCATTATATAATGGTCAAGATGAGGTTGAAACGGTTACTTATGACATATACTGTTATTTTGTCATTCTTGGCACCACTGGAATCTAAAATGTCGGGATTCCATTACATTTATCCAAGGGTTTGGCTGCTCTACTATGTAGCAGCTGATATCAATCATAGCAAACAGGACCCTAAGACGGATATAAGCTGCATTCCTTTCTCCAGAACTTTGCAGTATAAGATTCCTTCCCACTTTATAGCATCTCCTAAAGAGTAAACCCACTAGGAACTTAATTTTAACTGGGGTTCTGTTGTTCCTTTGTTGGCAACCAACCTTAACGTGTATGTATAAGTTCATTTCCTTCCACTTTAAAGACCACATACTCTAAGGAATTCACCTTGGCACTGGCAACCTCAAGACTGGATTATTGCTATGTGTTCTACGTGGGGCTTCACTTGGACTAAGCCTGGAAGCTGCAGCTGGTGCAGAATGCAGCAGCTAGACTTGGGTACCCCATCAACATCACAGATCCTCTGCTGAAGGAGCTGCACTAGCTGCCAAAATGCTACCAGGCACAATTCAAGGTCCTGTTTTTACTATTTAGTGCCCTAAACTTGAGACGAGAATATCTAAGGCATCGTCTTGCCCAAGCAACTCTGCTCCTCAGATAGGATACTGCTGAGAATACCATATGTCTGACACAGAGATTCAATGAGTCTGCACTGGGCTTTTAGCCCCAACTCTCAGGATTCATTTTTCAGCCACAATCAGACGGGCATATCGCATTCTGATATTTAGGCACCTACTGAATACATTTGTTGTTTAGGAAAACTTTCCTTGAGGTGTCACCCAGTTATTTATGAAATATCAATTCTCTGTTTTCATGAAATGTTCTTTTTTAGAGTTCGTTGAATTGGTTTTATTGTGCTTCTGTATTTTATTCTGTATTTTACCCTGTACGTTGCTTCAATGGTTTTATGCCATAAAGTGGTGTACAAATGTGTACAATAATAGTAACAGTAATGGACCCAGAAATAGCAAAGAAATGGCAACTGCCTGGTCTGGCTATTTCTCTTTCCCATAAAAACAATTCTCCATGAGTAGGCTGGCCCTGCTTTTTCATTCCACAAACAGAGCAAGTCATCAGAACAAGATTGCACTGGGAAACTTTTGCATTTATATTTGCATGCATATAAGCACATGTTGCAAGTGTAGCATCATTTGATGCACTGACGCAGCCTCTCAGAACTACACAACCGCTATACAATATGTCTGCACTAGTGTAAATACTCATTTTGGTACAGAAGAGGAAATAATGGCGTTGAACCAATTTTATCAACAGATGTCAGGAGAGTTGACTTCTAATAAGCAGCTGAGGGCACTTGGTCAACATTCATTATTAACACCAATATCTGTACTTGGGCTTTACATTCAAGATGAATGTGCTTAATATACATCCAGATTTGGTTTACTATAGTAATCGTTTCCACTTCTGATGTGCCCTCAGCTAGTAATGGCATGCCCATAACATATTTAAGAACACTGCAGTAAACCTTTCCATGATGTGGAGCCAATTGTGCTCTGCAGCATGGAGTTCTAAGCTACCATTCTTCAAATCCTTTCCCTAACAATACAGTGCTTTGATACACCTGTCAAGCAGTATTCAATAACGCCACCTACCTCGCTGCCTAGCAGTCTCCCTGCCTGAACTGACAGAACTGGTCTCAGAGGCGATGTTGAGGACTCCCAGACTGCTAGTTTTGGAGGACTTCAACATCCATGCCAAGGTGACTGGCTCTGGGGTGGCTGCCATGATGACCATGGGGCTGTCCCAACATGCCACTGGCCACTGCATGTAGGAGGCAACACTCTGGACCTTGTTTTCTCTGCTGGGCAGAAAGAGGGTGCTATTGATATCACAATCCCTTGTCATGGTCACATCACTTCCTGTTGAGATTTAGACTTCCAGCACCTTTTCCCTTCTGCATAGGCCTAATGGGATGGTCCACCCTTCAGAGGCTGATGGATCCAATGGGTTTCCAGACAGCTCTGGGGAATTTTCTGGCTGCTATGATTTGCACTCCTGTCAAAGTGCTGGCTGATCTCTGGTACATTCAAATTGCTTGGGCTGTTGTCATGATCACTCCTGAGCAACTTCTCCTGCTTTGGCTCCTTAGTATACTCCAGAGCTTCAGGCAATGAGACAAGCTGGAAGATAGCTTGAACACAGATGGAGGAAAACTCCAGTCGAATGCAATCTAACACTGGTGTGGACTCATCATCAAACCTACTTAGATGCAAGTGAAAGCAGCAAACTATGCCGTCCACCAGAGCTTTTCCAGATAGTATGGGGCCTTTTATAGTCTGGTCCGAAGGAGGTGGTAGAACAGATGGTAGTTCACTGTCACTTGTTTGCAAAGCATTTTAAGGATAAAATCACTTGCATCCACCTGGACCTTGACTCCAATGTTACAACAGGTGAATCTCAAGAGGTGTCCAGAGCACTGTCTAGTTTGGTTATGTTGGATGAGTTTCAGTAAGGATGGATAAGGTGCTTGGGATCAGTCAGCCTCTTGGCTGATAAAAACTAGTAGGGAGGAGACAGCTGACTAGGCCAAGGAGATTATTAATGCTTCCTGGTGAGACAGGGGGCCCTTGCCTGCTTGAAGGAGGCAGTGGTAAAAGCAGTCCTCAAAAAACCCTCGTTCAGTTTGGAAAATCTAATTACTAGCCAACTGCCAATCTCCCCTTCTTGCAACGGTTTCCCATTTGTGGAATGCTCTCCCCAGAGAGGCTTGCCTGGTACCTTAGTTACGTATTTTTAGGTGCCAGGCAAAAGCATTCTTCTTCTCTCCTGTCTTTGGCTAATTAAGCAACCTATGGCTTTTTAAACTGGGTGGGTATTATTTCTGTTTATCAGTATGTTTTATATTTTTGTGTTTTTGTATTGTAAACCACCCTATGATTCTCAGATGAGGGTTGGTACAGAAAATTAACTAAATAATAAATAATAATGCAGGTCTACAAGAAGGCGGCACTCACAAACCACTTGCAGGAGAGACTTTGGAAACCATCAAGCGGTCCATCTTGGAACACAACTTGCTCCATTTGAAAAACCTCTCTCTACAGAAAAGATCTATTGTGGATTACAACTCTAGAACTATTCTGAAATTCCTAGTGAGCAGAAAGTGTCTGCTAGTGCAGTTGCATTCAGCAGTACATATGGTTTGGGAACAAGAAGTCAGCTTTGGCAAAGAGTTCAGTAGGAGATCTTCAGCAAGTTGGCATTTCTCAAGGCTAAACTAGATGCAACCTTACTTGAACAACTGCAATTAACATGCATATTTAATGGAAAGATAAGTAGCAGCTGCAAGATCAGGACCAAGATTACAGGGTGCATTTTTTTAAAAAAAAACACCTCGCTTTATGCTGTCATTCTGAGGAATACCTCCCTGTCCTCATGAAGCTACTATTTTTTTCTGTCAAGGAGGAAGCTTCCATTGCTAATTTCAGAAAGTGGAACCAGCATTGCTAGTGGTCATTGAGAGCTTTATTCTCAATGAATTTGTCTTATGTATTTACCATTTCAATGCCAGTTCTCCCAGCTTGGAGGGATGTACTATTTGCTGTGCTAGAAAAGAATACCCTGTCTAACTCCTTACAGATTCTAGATCTCAGTAATTCCAGTAGTCCCCACACATTTGATTCTGTTTGTCCATACAATATTGTGGTGCTACTATGTCTGTTTTTGTTATTTTAATTTGTGGCATCTAATTTTGCATTGTAAACTGCCTTGAGTGTGACAGAAGGCAAGGTAAAAATGCTTAAAACAAAACAAAACAAAATATGTAAACATATTAATTGTTAAACTTTAAAAGTGTTAAGAGTAACTTTAAGAGTACTAATCCAACAGCAGCCACAGAGCAGGCAATCTAGGCTAGAAAATACCGGTAATCTACACTGTTCTACAGGATAGTATCCAGGCTGTTAAACAAGTTTGAAGAATCAGGCATGACAGAGCCAAGGAATTATGCAACTACCTTCAAGGGCCAATGGGATTCAGTTTTCCATTTCCATCCTCCTGACTCTTGCAGTTCATGACAGAACCTGTTCTAGGTGTTGAAGAAATAAAAATCTGTTGCAAAAATTGGGGAGTCCTCCCCCGTAAGCAATTATGGGGTTATAAACCCACAAGCCGTAACTCTTGCATCTATTATTATCTGTTACAATATTTTGTACCACCGCTCTTCAGTCAAAAAGCAATTTGGCACTGCTTACAACAATTTCAAACAAAACCCAAAGAAAATGGTTTAAAAGTGTAGAAGAAGGGGTATTGCATGAAGTTTACCAAATCCTTGCAGCGAGGGAGACAGTTATGCATTTTGTCTCTCATAAAAGGGCTTCTTGAAAAGCAGAATACCGTATACTGGCCAAGATTACTACTACAATGGCATATAGCCAATAAACATTTATACATTCTAAATTCTATATATCCAGACACTGGAATAAAAAGTCTCCAGAGTCACCTACTTTAAATGGATTTTGCAGCAATTCTGTTCCACTTTTTATGTCAACAGCTGTACACTCATTTTTAGAAGACTAAAAACCTGCCACTAGTATATCTTCAACCTGGCAGTAGCTAATTTTGGGGTCAAGACAATTAACAAGCAGGTGACTTGAACTTGCCGTCAGGGCATGTGACTTGCAACTAAATCCCATTACCTACAGCATTTAGCTTTGCACTAAGGGGTTTATGACAAGTAGCTGGTCTTTTCCTAATTAATCCATGCCTATTAAAAGAGCCATTTCACAAACTTGGAAAAACAAACTGCCCAAAGATTGTTCAACAGGATCTATAAATGAAGCAGAATACCTACAGCGTAACATGGATATTTACCAAGAAGTAATTTCTTCCATTATAGATTAGTATGCAGGGCCAACCTGAATAAGCTTTTAAGAATTGCTTTATTAACAGGATAGCAGCCAACTATCCATAGGTAGCTGTATGTCCCCAAGAGACTCTACCCAATGCACGTTAAAGGGAAACAGTTTCCAGACAAACTGCTCGCTCGCATCACTAGACTTAGCAGCATCATTTAGAAACAAGAAGTGCGCTGAGTAGCTTTCCTGCTTCCTCACCAATAAGCCACTTTGTGGCAGTTACTTTACAAATGAGCACAGGGAGCTGGGAAACAGAGCAGCTTCCAGGCAAGAGTTAAACAAATTCCTTTAACCTCATTATCTCACCCCACCCGAAGTTCCCAGTGAAACTTTTCCAAAAGGTGCTCAGGAGCAGAAGAAAAGGCTGCCATAAAATGGGTTCAATTCTGAAACGTTCACCTTTCCAGAAACAGTGGGCCCTGCTGGGCGCTATATGCTAAGCTTTGAGAGAAGCACAACTTACAGCTGGGTTCACACCCGGCTTCCATGAACTGCGATGGCTGCGCAAAGTGAGGAGAAGGGAGAAGATAAAATTGCCTCTGACTAGGGTTATGACCCGTCCATTCCAAGAGAGCCCACGAAAACACGGGAATACACTGAACCCAACTCGCTTCTCCGAGCATGTGCAGAGATTTATACTCCCCCCCCCCGCAGAAGAGCAACAAGAGCATCCACACGCGCGGAGCAGCAGAGCCGGGCGTCCCAGCTCCAGGGGTCGTGGATATGCCCACCGTCAGGAGATTTCCAGCCGCTTTGGACGCCCGCTTCCGAAAGAGATGGAAACCTAGGGGCGCCAGCCCTGCGTGGCCCGTGCCCCCGTTAAAAACCTAGGAAAGCGAAGCGCCCAGCCTGGGCAGAAAGGCGAGACTGTGGAGGACGAACGCAGAAGGGGAACAAAATCAAGGCAGCCGCTGAGGAAGCGCCGCCGCGTCTTACCTGGGCGCGCGGCCACCAGCTGCTTCGGAAGCTCTTTCTCCCAGGGCTCCCCACCAACTCCGCCACAAGTGCGACAAGCGCGCGCCCCGCAGAAGCCAGCCGGGTTTCCCCTGCAGCTGTTTATAGCGTCCCACAAGGGGGCGGTGCTGCGACGGAGCGTAGCCGGGCAAGCCCCTTCCCTCTGGGCCGCCCTTTCTCTTTCCGCGGCCCGCGAGGCCCCGCCTTGCGCGTTCAAGCGGACGACGCCTAGGAGCTCGGCGCGCCCTCGCCCAAAAGGGCTGCCTTCCCTCGCTCGCTCCCGTTTCGCTTTCTCCCGCGCGCGAGCGTTCTGACGGCCCTCAACTGTTCACACGTTCCGGCGCCGCCGCAGACACCGTCCGCCCATTAGAAATAGGCCTCTGATGTTTTCCCCTTTTATAGTACCGACTGGGGGGGGGGGGCTGAGGAGGCTCGACATGCATTGCTTTCCAAAGCAGAGCCTTTCCTGAAGACCCAGACTTCTCTATATTATAAAGGTCCCCATGAAATAAAAAAAATGTATTGTGTCTAGTAGTCGGAATGTGTGTGTGTGTGTGGGGGGGGGGTGTTTTTCCTGCTGAACAAGGAAAATAATGCTCTCTTCTCTATTTGAGTGTTGACTGCATGCTGGAAATAAATATTCGAATTTGTGGCTCAGCTTGGAATGTCTTTTTTCTTTGGTACGGCTTACAGCTTAAAAAGTAAAATCATTAATACGGACAAAAATGTTCTTCCTTCATTTGACATCTGTCAAGTGTCTCAAAATTATGGAGGTACCTTTCTCCTCAAATACCAGAAGATGGGTCAAACGTGTTTCATGGGGACAAGCAAGTGACAGCAGGAGAAATATATTGCCTTCTGAGCCCTGCTTGTGGCCTTCCTGAAAGGACCTGGTTGGCCATTGTGGCAAGCACTGTGCTGGACTATTGTTCTTATTGTATATTTACAATATTTGTACGCTGCCTTAAAACATAACGCTCTCTGAGCAACTTGTGTAACAGTTGAATTGCAAAACAAATGTAACTAGATGAGACCTAGGAAGATGCCTTATGGCTAATGCCAAGACAGACCATTGTCCCGTTGGGCCAGCTTTGCCTACACTGACTGGCAGCAGCTCTCCGACCTCTCTCTTAGTCCTGTGGAGATGCTTGGGATTGAACCTGAGATCTTCTGCAGGCAAAGTGGATTCTCTACTTTGCCTTTGGTCTGAGATGGCAGATTGTTATGTCCCTGTTTCAGTATAGCAGTGTTCTTAATGCTTGTGCCCTCTAAACATTTTGGACTATAACTTCCCTCACCCCCTGCCAACTTGACCACACTTCAAAATCTGGATGGCACCAGGTTGGAAAAGGTTTCTTTAGAGTCTAGCACCCGTTCTGGAAAGCAAGATTTGGGAGACAGAGAAAAAACCTTACACCCCAGAGAGCTACTGCTGACTGAAGTATATATTCCGGGGCAAGGTGGACGTGGACCAGTAACTGGATGCACCAGAAGTGGTGGCCTTTACAAACCCTGTGCTTGGGAAATGCCAGTGTGATGTAGTGGTTAAGAGTGGTAGACTCATAATCTGGGGAACCAGGTTCGCGTCTCTGCTCCTCCACATGCAGCTGCTGGGTGACCTTGGGCTTGTCACACTTCTTTGAAGTCTCTCAGCCCCACTCACCTCACAGAGTGTTTGTTGTGGGGGAGGAAGGGAAAGGAGAATGTTAGCCGTTTTGCGACTCCTTCGGGTAGTGATAAAGCAGGATATCAAATCCAAACTCTTCTTCTTCTTCTTCTTCTTCTTCTTCTTCTTCAAGCACAGTGCTTCCAAAGCACCTCACAACCAGCTGGTTGTCAAATGTTTGAGTGCTCTGCAGCACCAAGCACAGTACTTTCCAAAGTGCCCAACAATCAGCACTTAGGAAGGAGGGTCTGCAAAGACCCTTTCAACCAAGCCAGGCCCCTACCTGCCCCACACCTGATAGCATATGTCAGGTTTAGGGCAGGTAGGTGTGGTTTGGTCAAAATGGCCATGCAAGCCAAATGGAGAGGCCCGGGGCCACGGGCTGTTCCCCACCTGTAGTTTAGAGGTTAAATTTCCCTAGTTGTAATATCCAAGTTGAGGAGTGCTCATCAAGCCCTTTTAAAAACCATAAAGATAAATATTGTTGTCCTTTCTCCAAGAACAATGCCCTACCATTTTGTGAACATTTTCTTTTTGAAATTTCTATGTAGGCTGGGTCTTTGCACAGCAGCAAATTAATGTAAGAATTAATTGAATAAAAAGAATTAGATCAGGAATGTGGCTCCTCCTTCCGTGCCACACACAGTAACACTAGCTGCCCTGCAGCTAGACTTATCTTCTTGATATACTAAAAAGCCCTAATTCAGTCTGTAGAGGGTGGTGCCAACAGAACTTCTGAGGATCAGTCTTTGTATCAGCTGAGTATTTCTAAACACAAAGCTCTTTTTGTTTTATTTTGTCACACAGGCATAACTTCTGAATAATGCCGCAATAGAAAACTATTGTCTTCCGTTGAAGGTAAGTATTTTCATACAAAAATGGAATTGCTCTAAGTGAAGGATTATTATTTATTGGGAGGGGGGAGCTGAATTGCAGAGACCAAAGTAATCACATTTATATAAACAATAAATGGATTGGTGTATAAAAGGCATATGGATAATAAGGATGAACGCTAATATGCTTTTCACTCTAAATTATTTTTGTGTGTGTGTGTGTTCTATGCACACGGGAAGCTGTTGAACAAGCTGTTTTGTTTCCTATTCGTGATACATTTATGGGACATGTACAAAATTAATGGCAGTATTTGAGTATAAATCTCAAGTCAGGGTAAAATCCACATCACTTGTCCTGCTGTGGAAAGATGAAAATATCAAGAACCCTGGTAAATTCATACCTGCAGCCTCTTTGGTTTCCGACCTAGGAGCAACTGTTGCTGGCCTGCCCACTTCCATTGCGGAATTTGGCAGAATAGACCCATTTTCGTAGGATGATGAGTTGCTGGCCATGTACACACTGTACCTTTAAAGCACATTCCCCACCCCCAAAAAATAATAATTCTGGGCACTGTAGTTTACCCTTCACAGAGTTACAATTCCAAGCAACTCTTAACTACAGTGCACATAATCATTTGAGGGAAGCGATGTGTTTTTTATATGCTTTTAAAGCTATAGTGAACACACTGCCACTGAAAGTTACCTCAACCATCTAGCAAAGGGAAGAGGAGCACAATCACTTGCCTTTTTGTGACCACCAGCTTGGTGTGCTCCAGGCACTGTTTGGTGCATCTGCAGCCCTAAGTCAAGTTCCTCAGCTGGTATCACCACAGCTCTAGGCTCAGCGGTCTCCTACTCCTACTCTCAGCTTAAGGCCAAGGCCATGGCAAGTAAACATCATAAAAGCCTCTAAATTCTGGGACAGTGCTGTGAAGGACGTCTGTTTTAATTCCACATCTAGGTGACTACGAAAAGGCAATGCCTCAGTGGTAACTAAAGGTCTCTAGCATGGGCACAACCTTGTTAAAACCGAGGCAATTATATGTATTGGAGTAATTTCAAATCTGTTATTGGCTCCGGAATTCTCCAGGTTGATTTACAAACTTGTTTCAGTTAATATGGTGCTCTATCCATCACACAGAGTACAGTAAAATGCTAAATGTGACAAAAGAAGACTGGCCAGTAGACTGGGCTAAATAACAATCTTAAAGTGAATGATTCTGTCGGTAATAAAACTTACATCCTCATGAAGAACAGAGCTGCTTGTTAAATGTATTGAGTTAAAGAAAAAATATTTCAGCTACTTAAGAAGCATGTTTAGAGAGATGAGATCTTTTTTAAATTCTTTTTTAAAAAATTTGCCCATAGTTTAAACTCCACTTGAGATGCTAGTAGATATATCTAAGAAGGTGAGAGCAGCATGCAATTTATATGTAATCCTAAATGCAATTAGAGAAACAATGTGTCGTGCAGACTGCAGGTACAGATGCTATCATGGCACCTGGATGTGATAAGCACAGCAAAATAAGGAGGTTATTAAATTAAAGATCTGAGAACCCTGGACGGAACTCTTTGAAAAGCTTAGCCCAACACAAGCTCCATTGAAGGAGCCTGTTCCACAGAATTTCAATATCTCCAGTAATCATTCACAATAGGGAATATAATTTAGGACAAGGTATTTCTCTAAAAAGTTGAGCTTGCTTTATTATATCATTTTAATATTGTACTGTGAAGAATTCTGTTAGCTAAAACAGTGATGAATAACCTTTTGGGTGGGGGAGTCTCCAGGGTGTGACTGTTTTGTGGAAGGTATTCAAGCACATGCTGGAACTTTAGGTGAGTATGGTTGACGTTTATTAAAGGTCTCTGACATCCTAATGCAATAAACCCACTTTGTTGAAAGTGATGGGGGAAATGCATTTTTATGAATGTGGGATGAATTTTATTATTTATACCCTGCACGGCTTACAGGATATCTAAAAGCATAATAAAAACATCAAACATTAAAAAGGAGCATCTTCACCCCCATCGTTCAGCCCAGACACTGAGGTCCAGCGCCGAGGGTCTTCTGGCAGTTCCTTCACTGTGAGAAGCGAAGCTACAGGGAACCAGGCACAGGGCCTTCTTGGTAGTGGCCACTGTCCTGTGAAACACCCTCCCATCAGATGTCAAGGGAATAAACAACTATCTGACTTTTAGAAGACACCTGAAGGCAGCCCTCTTTAGGGAAGTTTTTAATGACTGATGTTTTAATGTATTTTTAATATTTTGTTGGATATACAAAATATATATATATTTGTTATATATATTATTTTTAATGACAAACCCCAAGTTTTTAGCTGTTATTATTTCATATGTAAGTCACCCTGAGCCCCTGTCAAGGAAAGAGGTGGGATAATGATGATGATGATGATGATGATAATAATAATAATAATAATAATAATAATAATAATAATAATGGGGACCTATTAAGATTGGTTCCACTGCACAGCTTAAATTCTTTTCTTTTTTTAAGCAAAATATCTGTAACTTTAGATAATAGAAACAATGTCATGGGTATTAGGCGGGTTGGACCAGATGACCCATGTGGTCTCTTCTAACTCTACAATTCTATGATTCTATAATATCTAGTTTTCCTCAAATATTTCTGACATGCATGTTGGCCTTATGGCGGGCATATGGGACTGTGGCATTTCCTGATACCAGGAAGATACAGTTCAAAATCCCTTTGCAGCATAATTCAACACTTGCTAATCTTAACCACTGCTTTGAAGGGGAAGGAGAAATAGCACCACTGATTTCTAAAAGGCAGTTATACTTATTCTGATGGTGTACACATGTTAACAGCTTTAATCTTGTTTAGGAAGGTCATGGCTAAATTACCTGTTTATATCAGCTTCTATACTTTCAGTATACCCTGGGAAAGTAACATGTATGCCTCTTCAGCAGGAAAAATATTGTGTGGAGTAGAGGCAAACATACTCCGCTCTACATTAATGTGGCCTGTCAGGTCTTGAATTATGGGTGAAAAGGTGATGGCATCATTAAAAGAAACCCACAAGTGCCAATCCTTGACTCCACTTTTAGTTAATCATGCTGCCTTCCCCCAGCAGCCTTCTAAAAAGATGTGATTTGAGCACCAGTGGCTGCCATCCACAAAACTGATTTAAGGAATGTGGGTCTACTGTCTATATTAGTCAACAGGCGGCATAACAGAACAATGGACACAGGCGGCTGCTCACCAGCGCTGGGACATTTAAATTGCCTTAGAATACAGAGGGAGCCAGAGGGAGCAGATGGAAGAAGAAGAAGAGTTTGGATTTGATATCCCGCTTTATCACTACCCGAAGGAGTCTCAAAGCGGCTAACATTCTCCTTTCCCTTCCTCCCCCACAATACTCTGTGAGGTGAGTGGGGCTGAGAGACTTCAAAGAAGTGTGACTAGCCCAAGGTCACCCAGCAGCTGCATGTGGAGGAGCGGAGACGTGAACCCGGTTCCCCAGATTACAAGTCTACCGCTCTTAACCACTACACCACACTGGCTCTCGGGAGAGGAAAGAAAGGAGGAGAGAAGAGACCAAGCTTTTTCTGGAGGATGCAGAGGGGACACGGTGGGGTGCTTTGGGATGCAGGTACACAGCCCTATCTGGAGATCTGGGAGGATAAAACTCTGCCCCAAGGGGTCAATAGGACTACTACCAGCAGCTTAAGTGCTCAATCATGCAGTGGGATGGGGGTGCAGGAACTACTGATGTGCAGCTGGGACAAGACCTGTTGCTCAAAACAGCAGTGCCAACTTGGTCCCATGACTGTGGGTGCCTGGGGCCATGGGTGCCATGCAGAGTTCATGGGTGCTCAGCCTCTTCATGGGAAATTTTTGTGTGTGCTCAGGTCAGGCACCCAGGGCCCCAGGGAGTTGGCACCTATGCTCAAAGACTTAGTTTGGCCTCAAGTGAGGAGGCTGCCCAGTGAAATAACTCAGGAGCTAGTGGAAGCTGGTAGTACTACTGACTTAAACTGACTTCTGTTTCACCACCTAGTGATAGAAGAAGGAGCAGTACAGTGGTACCTCGGGTTACATACGCTTCAGGTTACATACACTTCAGGTTACAGACTCCGCTAACCCAGAAATAGTGCTTCAGGTTAAGAACTTTGCTTCAGGATGAGTACAGAAATTGTGCTCCGGCGGCGTGGTGGCAGCAGGAGGCCCCATTAGCTAAAGTGGTGCTTCAGGTTAAGAACAGTTTCAGGTTAAGTATGGACCCTCGGAACGAATTAAGTACTTAACCCAAGGTACCACTGTAGGTTGATTTTTCCTTGCTGGCGAGCCAGATGACAACCTGTCTTCTTCCAAGGTGTTCTGGATTGTGTACATGGTTTCCCACCCCTCATTTTAACCTACTGCAGAGAAAGACAGGCAGACGCAGAGAGACTCAAAGTGAGTTTCATGACTGAGTGGAGATTTGAACCTAGGGCTCCTGAGTCCTGGTCCCACATACAAGCCACTACACCCCACGGAAACTTCTGTTTCCTGCAGTTTATACAACGCTCTACTTCTTGACTCAGCTATTGAGGTAAAACAGCTTTGTACCAAAAAGAGGACTTGTCAAAGCACCACCTTGGCAACAATTCCCCCTTACTGTGAAGAGAACTGGAGTAGCCGAAGAGTGACAAGGACAGTGAGAGCTTCTTTTGTGTACTGATGATAATCTGTTTTCAACACTTTGCTCGGTAATTGTCCTCCAGCAACGCCATCCACTTAGAAAAGGGAATAGTTATGTAACACTTACTCCTATAATGCTGTACAAAGGCAGCTTTCTGTGGCTGATCAGAGCATGTACAGTGCATTTCTCTGTAGTTGGAAAAACTTGTACGGAGACTGCCCAGGAGGAAATAGAGCAAATGCAGTTTCTGTGGAAATAATTTCTAATTGTATAAATGTTCAGTAGGCTAAACAACAAAAGGGATAGGACAGAACAATATTGTAAGATACACTTGCACTGCTATTTGGTCATGCTGCTATTTCCTTGTTAGAGAGATAGAAAGTCTTTGCAGTATTAAACAACAGAAACTGTCATGGGTCAGTGTTTGTACCTCTCAGTCAGGACAGGGAGTAACCAAATTATTAAATGCAGTCGATGGACTGCCCTGGGCAGCTACTGATTTACTTTGTGAGCACCTGCCAAATGTTGGATCTCTACTTCTGAATCTCCCAACTCAGGGTTGTGCAGTTATATCATTCTGGAATGCCTTCACTCAGAAACTGGATTGATTGGTCTGGGAAATTTAGCTTCATATAAACCAACATGCATGAAGGGGTTAAGATAGTAGAGTATGCTGTTTTGGCTAGACTTGACTAGGTCACACCATCTCATCTTGGGTGATGATTTCTTTGTTCACTTTCTCTTCCACCATGGCAACCCTACCAGACAGGATGTCTGAGCTTGATCGCTCCAAACTCAGGCCGTGTGTTCAGAAACCTTTTTATCATATTTTGGAACACATTTATTTTGGAAGGCATTTGGCTTGAGCACTTGACTGTATGCTAGCTTTGGTGTCTGGACATTATCCGATGTTATCTTTTCCCAGCTGCCTGCATGTGTGTTACCTTCAATGTCACCTAAAAGGTTTAATAAATAGCTGAGTGATCTATAGACTTTCTATTACCATCACCTGTAAGAAGTGTATTCCCTGAAAGCAAAATAAATTTGTGCAAATGTAAAGTTTATGGAAGCTGATGTTGCAGGAAGAACATTGAATAGCCTTTGATATATGCATAATAAAGTCTCATT